GTCCTTGGTTTAAAGCCAGCCTAAGCAGAAAAGTCTGCAAGATTTTATTTTAGTTAACCAGCAACTGGGCTAGAGGCACATGAGCTAAGAAAGTTCTTTATATTTTTCAACGAATTAGGATTTATTCCATGTATCTCATGACACATGAAAATGAAAACTTCCTGTTTTATCCCATAAGTAAAGTTTTATTGGAAAATGACCATGCTTTTTGGCTACCTATAGCTGTGGCTACTTTTCCCTTGTAAGTACAGAATTGAGTGTGCATTTAATACTCATGGCCATAAAACCTAAATATTTCCTATTTGACCCTTACAGAAAGTTTGCTGACCTCTGATCTGGGCAGGAGAAGTCTACAAGGGAATAGACAAGAGCTGAAGAACTAGCCAGAATGGGTCTCACGAAAATGGAGGGAGGACTGGACTTGGGGGCACACATCTACTCAGGAGGCTGAGATCTAAGGATCTAAGTTTGAAGCTAGCCAGCCAGCTAGCTAGCCAGCCAAATCCCAGAGACTCTAATTTCCAGTTAGCCAACAAAAAGCCAGAACTGTAGGTGTGGCTCAAATTGTAGAATACCAGTCTCTTTTTTTTGGGGGGGGGGTCCGGTCATGGGGCCTGAACTCTGGGCCTGGGCGCTGTCCCTCAGCTCTTCAGCTCAAGGCTAGCGCTCTACCACTTGAGCCACAGCGCCACTTCCTGCTTTTTTCTTTTTTCTTATGTGGTGCTGAGGAATTGAACCCAGGGCCTCATGCATGCAAGGCAAGCGCTCTACCACTGAGCCACCTTCCCAGCCCCTAGAATACCAGTCTCAAGGGAAAAAGCTAAGAAACACTATGAGGCCGAGTTCAAGCTCCAGTACCAGCATGTGTGTACATATGTGCATGCGCCCCCCGCCCCCCCCACACAATGGAGAGGAATTCCCAGCAGTGTTAGGAGGTACGCAGAAGGTAAAGATGAACAAATCCATAGTGCCCACTTCCCATTAGACTAAAGTGACTTAATGAGGAGAGTGCTGTTGAAGGCAGAGACAGTGTGTGTTGTGGTGAAGGCATGAGTAGCATGAGTGCCTTAAAATCTTAAGAAGATTTCTAGATGATTTTTTTCCTGTTGGTGCCATTAGGTGATTAGTAGTAGTTTATATTGGTCCAGCCCAATTGTTGACTTCGTTGAGCAGTTTAGAAGTTCACCTGCTCCAGGAATTTCTTAAATGCTTTTGGACAAGGAACATGGCTAAAACAATAGATGCCAGCCAAGCAAACACGAGGCCATGAGTTCAGACTCCTGTACTGCCTCCCAATGCTTTGATCTGAAAAAGTACTGTCTTATTGATGTCTGTCAGAAATAAGGACAAATTCTAAGTAAGATAGAAGGATGAGATAAGGATTTAGGAAAGGGAGTCAGTCATTAGAGTATGTAAATAGTTTATGCATGAGGAGAAATTAGAAAATAGAATACATAGCATTTTCCCCAATTTTTTCACTTCCCTATGGTACAGAGACCATGGTTGAAGCCACAGACTTTTTCTTTAAGAATGAAAAACTATGAGCAACTCATCTTTGGAAATATTTGTACTACAACCTACAAATTATGATTCAGACTAGGCCAGGCCTGAAAAGCACACTTTCAGATTTGATGATAATTTCTCTTCTATTGTCATCCAGTAGTTTGGAGTGGTTTGAGATGTACATGATCATTCTGATGTTTTAGCTTTGAACTTGTATAATCAGGTTGATTTGACCTCTTGCCTAATAGCTGGTTCCTCTCTGGAAACAGACAAGAATTTTGCTTGACCTTTTTAAATGCTTAAAGTTCTTGAATTCCTTGAAAAGTGTAATCAAAGAAATCTAATAAAAATCTATCAGGCCCTGAAGCAGTTAGCCTGTGACTCACATAGTCCTGTAGGTTTTTCTCTAACTGGGTCCTGGAAGTTTGAATGACTTGCCTCCTGAGATAACACTCTTAGAAGGGAAGTGGTTGAAGCATATTTATTTCCATTTTAAGTGACTTCATCATTTACAATCCAGGCTATACCTGGTATGGTGGTAAGAAAATACCCTGAAGGAGATCGGATAGCAATTTTTGCACAATACATCATGCCTACCAGATTTCTTTGGTTGAGATACTGCAGTGTAATGCAGTGTTTTTGCAGCTGGAGTTTGGACCTCAATCATTTTAGGCTGCTCTATTTTTTTTTTAAGGAAAATGGGGGGGGGCATGCAGCCAACCTAGTGAAGTAAAAGTGAGGATTCTGGCTCTTTTATAGAAGGGAAGTTTTACAGAAGCACAGTTCTAAAAACCAGTTGGGAAGAATCCACCCAATCTCTGCCAACTTTTTCTTCTCCTTTTTTTATTCTAGTCCTGAGGCTTGAACTCAGGGTACTGTCCCTGAACTTCTTTTTCTCAAGGCAAGCACTCTACACTTGAGCCACAGCCCCACTTCTAGCCTTTTCTTAAGAGTCTTAGCCGGGTGCCGGTGGCTCACGCCTGTAATCCTAGCAACTCAGGAGGCTGAGAGCTGAGTATCACAGTTCAAAGCCAGCCTGGGCAGGAAAGTCCGTGAGACTCTTTATCTTCAATAAACCACTAGAAAACCGGAAGTGGCGCTGTGGCTCGAGCAGTAGAATGCTCTCCTTGAACTGAAGAGCTGAGGGATAGTGCCCAAGCCCAGAAGGTTCAAGCCCCATGACTGGCAAAAAAAAAAAAAAGAGTCTCATGGTCTTTCTTGATGAGGCTGGCTTCAAACTGCAATCCTCAGATCTCAGCTTCCTGAGTCACTAAGATTATAAGCATGAGCTGCCTCGCCTTCTGCCAGCTTCTTGCTTGTTCTCCTAAGAGAAAGGGGATTGATAATGCCATGGAATCTTCCCGAAGCAGAAAAATGTTATCATTAATCTTTATTCATTTACCAATCAATTATTAAGCTGTCAGTTGCTATAAGGAATGAGGAGGGTACTATGTTAATTCATAGTAGATAATAACTGATTTATTTGTTTCTGGCCCTTGTTCATTCTGGTCATTATGTGGGTCTTCTCACACCCCCCCTTCCTTACTGGAACACCAGACATGGGTTACTAGAACTTAAGTTGGATACCTACTCTTTACTGCTGGCACCAACAGTATTCTCTAGTGTCCAGTGACAGAAGAGATCAGGCCCCCTGCTTTCTGATGACATATCTCTCTGCTCATAAAGGAGTGCGTTAAATGGCAAAATGCTGGTCCAGCATCATTTCAGCATTGGAAGCAGTGCTGCTGCCAGGGCTGGCCCCCGCATGACTCTGGGTGGCGGATTTGGACCTCATAGTGTTCTGTAATACTCCAAGCCTGTGTTTGCGAGGCAGGTTTTCTTGGGAAGGGTGACAGTCTTGTGCTAGGATGAAGGGAGAAAGCGCATATTCTAAGAGAATCTTCTCTGTAGGGGGTGGAGGAAGCCAAATGGTGTGGCAGCTTGTAGCTCGTAGTCTCTTGTGCACATTTTTTTTTTTTTTTTTTTTTGCCGGTCATGGGGCCTGAACTCTGGGTCTGGGCGCTGTCCCTCAGCTCTTCAGCTCAAGGCTAGTGCTCTACCACTGGAGCCACAGCGCCACTTCTGGCTTTTTCTGTTTATGTGGTGCTGAGGAATCGAACCCAGGGCCTCATGCTTGCAAGGCATGCACTCTACCACTGAGCTACTTTCCCAGCCCTCTTGTGCACATTTCTATGCTATTTACCTTTTTTTTTTTTTTTTTGTCGGCCGTGGTGCTTGAACTCTGGGCCTGGGCGCTGTCCCTCAGCTCTTCAGCTCAAGGCAAGTGCTCTACCACTTGAGCTACAGCGCCACTTCCGGTTTTCTGGTGGTTTATTGGAGATAGGAGTCTCACGGTCTCTCCTGCCCGGGCTGGCTTTGAACCACGATCCTCAGATCTCAGCCTCCTGAGTAGCTAGGATTAGAGGCGTGAGCCACCAGTGCCCGGCTTATTTACCATTTTTTAAATGGAAGTAAAATTCAACTTATTTCAATTAAATAGAAAAAGTATCCAATTATTAAGTTTTTGTATTATTTGAAAGTTGAGCATAGTATTGCATGCCTGCAATCCCAGCTACTAGAGAGGCAGAGCAGAGCAGGATCTTGAATTTGAAACCAGTATGGGAAAATTTTGGAGGAACCGCCACCCCCACCCCACACACACACTGTCCCAATCTCAAAATCAAAAATACAAAAACAAAAGAGCTAGGGACATGACTCAAGTAATAAAGTACTTGGAGTTTAATCCTTAGTATGAAGGGAGAAAAGGAAGGAATGAGAGGGAAGGAAGGAACAAGAAAAGAAGGAAAGGAGAAAGAAGAGGAAGGGGTTTTCTTTTTGTGTTTTTTTTTTTTTGACAAAAGCTTGAAAGACATAATTTTTCTAATACTTAATGCAGAAGACCAAGCAAGCCTTTGAGTTCAGGCATCTGTAGGAAATCAAGTTGAATTCAGTGACAGTCTAGACCTGAAGGTTTTTGTTGGGGTCTACTCTTGCCAGGCTTTCAGGGAAAAACGATGAGTGCTGCTCCCCAGCCCTGAGGGGTTTCTGTCCTTGAAGGGGAGAGGTTCTGTGGGAATGGGGCATTTCGATCTAACTTTGTAGATGGATGAATCGCACAGAATGGTCTCAGCACAGGTGAAACATGCTTGGCTCACTTAGTCCAAAGACTTCAGACTAAGTTCACAGAGGTTAGCATTGAAGAAACTGGGTGAAGGGTAGGGGCCCTGAGTCGGAGGCGTGGCCCTGTTGGGTACTAATTCTGTTTGTTGACTGGGTTGCTTCTTTTTCCCCGTAATTAATGGGATGTAATGCCATGGTGTCGTCTTTGAATCCTTGTCACCATCACCCCTCATCTCCGCCTCCCCCCCCCCCCCATTGACAGAAGATACCGGCAGTGTGGAGCAGCGGGGAAGATGGGCTTGTTAGAATGGGTCTGATATGAGCAGTCTCTATAAAAATTTTCTTGGTTTCAAAGACTTTTCCAACCTCTCTTTCAGTGCCCGAAGTGACGAAACCAAGTTTAAGCCAACCAACGGCCGCCAGCCCAATTGGCAGCTCTCCATCGCCACCAGTCAATGGTGGCAACAATGCCAAAAGGGTGGCCGTGCCGAACGGACAGCCGCCAAGCGCCGCCCGCTACATGCCTCGGGAGGTGCCGCCGCGATTCCGTTGCCAGCAGGACCACAAAGTGTTACTAAAACGTGGGCAGCCCCCTCCACCTTCCTGCATGCTCCTCGGGGGCGGGGCGGGGCCTCCTCCCTGCACAGCACCTGGAGCAAACCCAAACAACGCACAAGTGACAGGAACGCTGCTGCAGAGCGAGAGTGGGACTGCGCCAGGTAAGGACCGCCCTGAAGGGAGGGAGAGAGCTTTACCTTGTGCATTGCCTGGTGTGAGATCCCCAAACCCCTTACGTAGATAGACTGCCGGGATCAGTCATAAGATGGAGCGGATCCCAGTGTGAAAAGGGAAGTTCTTAGAGACTGGGTTACAGCGTGGTAGCATGAGCAGCTTGCAGTCGCCGCTGTGGATCATCATGCTTTAAGCCTTTTTCTCTGGTCCTCTGTGGTTCTACAGGTTTGTGTTCAGGGAACAACAAGGGGGATGTAGGGCCCCTATGGAGGCTGTTCTGAATCTCCAGATGCTGTGCTTATGCTTCCAGAATGCTACAATCAGAGAAAGAATGACCTTTTCCATTACAGTATAGAATCATGGGAAGACACCACATAATACCATTTTGGTTTGGTTTGGTTTGGTTTGTGCCAGTCGTAGGGTTTGAACTCAGGGTCTGGGCTCTGCCTGAGCCTCTCTGTGCTCAAGGCTAGTGCTCTACCACTTGAGCCACAGCACCACTTCTGGCTTTATCTGTCTATGTGGTACTAAGGAATGGAACCCAGGGTTTCATCCATGCTAGGCAAAGGACTCTACCACTAAGCCACATTCCCTGCCCCAGCTCCTGGCTTTTTGGGGTGGTTAATTGGAAATAAGAGTCCTGCAGGCTTTCTGGACTGGCTTTGAACCACTCCTCAGATCTCAGCTTCCTGAGTAGCTGGGCTATAGGTGTGAGCCATTGGCACCTGGCCAGTACCATTCTAGTTTTGTAGTGATTTTTTTTTCAGGAGGCGGGGGTGGTGGTACTAGGGTTTGAACTGAAGACTTGGTACTTGCTTGGCTAGTCTTCTCCCATGCCTCTGGCCCAGCTCTTTGCTAGTTATTTTGGAAATGGTATCTTATGGACTTTATGGATGGAATGGAAATATTACTTCAGATCATTATTTTCCTGAATTTCTGGGTTATAAGCATGAACCACCAGCACCTTCTTTCCCACTGAATTTTTTTTTTAAATCAGTGTTTCTGATTTTCAAACCACTGCATGTTGAGCTTTGTTAGACACTATAAGGTAGACATGAAGTGTTCTTCTAGAAGTTTTGAGTTTTTAAAGATGATTTAACAACTATGTCAACTAAAGCAAAGAACTTCCAGGTCCTGTTTTTTTTAAGTTCATTAATAGATTTCAGCCTGCCTCTCAATTTATCTTTTGAGGTTATATTAAAATACAGAGCTTGAATATGGTCGAACATTGGCAAGGACTGCTTATTAATGGTTTCCACTAATTGATATGCTTTGAGTTCTGAGTTTGAACAGTGGATTGCTCAAAAAAATTATGTCTCCATCTTGTGTGTAAAGTAAGGATGGAAGAAAACATAGTAGTGACACAGGCTTTGTGCAGAGACATACCATCCCCACAAGGCTTCTGTGGCAGTCAGACCAGGCCCAGAGTAGACACAGCCCTTCCTTCCTAACCCTTGGTAGCCAATGAGGGGACTACACAGAGTCATGGGTCCAGTGTAAATCAGAGTCTCACATTGACACCATTAGAAAGAAGTCATTTTTCTTCTCACCAAATCTGGTATTAAGCTGTGCTACCCAAGTCAGCCTTAAAGCAATTGGCATAGGGCTCAACTGCCATATTTGTGTTGGACTGTTTGATCCAATTAAGCTCCTTTAAAAGCAAGTCTATTCATTTGGGACCTCCTGTCCTTCAATAGAAGTGCACTGAGCAGCACAGCATGGGGATGGTGTGGAATTGGCCCATTAGCAGGATGAGGTGTGTTAAGAGTCACCACCAGGGGAAGGAGCAATGTGAACATAGTGCTGTTGCAGTGGGGAAAATAACTATTGACAAAGGGGAGTTATTCCAGATGAGGAGCTCAAAAACAGCTTCACAGAAGTGGCACTTGAATTAGATCCAGAAAGATGAGTAAATTTCACTGTGTGAATTAAGGGGAAAAGAAAAAAGACAGTAGTTGCTATCATGGAATGTTGCCAAGGTAAGAAGACACAGCTGTGGAGTGTAGATGACTACATAGAAGGTTGTAGAAGATAATTTAGACTGGAAGGTTTGACAAAGGTCATGGCAGATCTTGATCAAAATGCAAGCCAAGGAGTTCAGCTTCATTTTTGTGCACTAAGAAACGGGTGAAGGCTTACATATGGCAGTGGTAGAATGAAAAGGCATTTTAGAAAAATTGTTGTTTCAGTTGGGGGTGTTAGGAGCAGATGGGAGAAAGAGCAAGTTTATAGTGCTATTTTATTTGTCTTAAGAGGCAAAAAGCCTTTCTCTGTCAATAGGAATGGCAAGGAGGTAGCTTTGCTAAATGGTGTGGAATTCAACTTAGTGAATAGAACAGTGGGCCAGTGAAGAAGAGGTGACCAACAGTTGTGATACAATCCAAAATGAGTGACGGGTAGAGAAAACAATGTAGGGAGAGATTTGGTGAAACCGTCCTGGAACAGTATAAGCTCCAGGAATTGATTGTAATGCTTGAGTAGCCATAATTGATCAGATGATCTCTTTTTCAGAGTCAACCCTTGGAGGTGCTGCTGCTTCAAATTATGCAAATTCCACTTGGGGCCCGGGAGCCTCCTCCAACAACGGCACCTCCCCCAACCCAATTCACACCTGGGACAAGGTGATTGTAGACGGGTCTGACATGGAAGAGTGGCCTTGTATTGCCAGCAAAGACACTGAATCTTCTTCCGAAAACACCACCGATAACAACAGTGCCTCAAACCCTGGCTCTGAGAAGAGCACTCTGCCAGGAAGCACCACTAGTAACAAAGGCAAAGGGAGCCAGTGCCAGTCTGCAAGTTCTGGGAACGAATGTAATCTTGGGGTTTGGAAATCTGACCCTAAGGCTAAATCTGTTCAATCTTCCAACTCTACTCCAGAGAGCAACAATGGACTAGGAAATTGGAGGAATGTGAGTGGTCAGGATCGAATTGGACCTGGCTCTGGCTTCAGCAACTTTAACCCAAATAGCAACCCATCTGCCTGGCCAGCACTGGTCCAAGAAGGAACTTCTAGGAAAGGGGCATTGGAAACAGATACCAGTAATTCCAGTGCACAGGTTAGCACAGTAGGTCAGGCATCCAGGGAACAGCAGTCAAAGATGGAAAATGCGGGTGTTAATTTTGTTGTCTCTGGCAGAGAACAGGCTCAAATTCATAACACTGATGGACCAAAAAGTGGAAACACTAACTCCTTGAACTTAAGTTCACCAAACCCCATGGAGAATAAGGGAATGCCCTTCGGAATGGGCTTGGGGAACACCTCCAGGAGCACTGATGCCCCTTCACAAAGCACTGGAGATCGAAAGACTGGGAGTGTTGGATCTTGGGGTGCAGCTAGGGGTCCTTCTGGAACTGACACAGTCTCTGGACAAAGTAATTCTGGAAACAATGGGAACAATGGAAAAGAGAGAGAGGACTCCTGGAAAGGAGCTTCTGTTCAGAAATCAAGTGGGTCAAAAAATGACTCTTGGGACAATAATAACAGGTCTACGGGTGGGTCCTGGAACTTTGGCCCTCAGGACTCTAATGACAACAAATGGGGTGAAGGGAACAAAATGACATCTGGGGTCTCTCAGGGAGAATGGAAACAGCCGACTGGGTCTGATGAGTTGAAAATTGGAGAATGGAGTGGTCCAAACCAACCAAATTCTAGCACTGGAGCATGGGACAATCAAAAGGGCCACCCCCTCCCTGAAAACCAAGGCAATGCCCAGGCTCCCTGTTGGGGAAGATCTTCCAGCTCCACAGGAAGTGAAGTTGGAGGACAAAGCACTGGAAGCAACCACAAAGCAGGAAGTAGCGACAGTCATAATTCTGGCCGTCGGTCATACAGGCCTACACATCCTGATTGCCAGGCTGTCTTGCAGACTCTTTTGAGCCGAACTGATTTGGACCCCAGGGTGCTCTCAAACACTGGCTGGGGCCAAACTCAAATTAAGCAGGACACAGTGTGGGATATTGAAGAGGTGCCAAGGCTTGAGGGGAAATCGGACAAAGGAACTGAGGGGTGGGAGAGCGCTGCCACACAGACCAAGAACTCAGGGGGCTGGGGAGATGCACCCAGCCAAAGCAATCAAATGAAGTCTGGATGGGGGGAGCTCTCAGCCTCTACAGAATGGAAAGACCCCAAGAACACAGGAGGCTGGAATGATTATAAGAACAACAACTCTTCTAACTGGGGAGGAGGAAGACCAGATGACAAGACTCCTTCCTCTTGGAATGAGAATTCCAGCAAGGATCAGGGGTGGGGAGGAAGCCGCCAGCCCAATCAAGGGTGGACTTCTGGGAAGAATGGTTGGGGAGAGGAAGTTGATCAAACGAAAAACAGCAATTGGGAAAGTACTGCAAATAAGCCTGTGTCTGGGTGGGGTGAAGGAGGACAGAATGAAATTGGAACTTGGGGGAATGGGGGGAATGCAAGCCTAGCTTCGAAAGGTGGGTGGGAAGATTGCAAAAGATCCCCCGCATGGAATGACACAGGCAGACAGCCCAATTCCTGGAATAAACAACACCAACCGCCGCAGCCACCACAGCAGCCACCGCCACCACAACCAGAGGCGTCTGGTTCATGGGGAGGACCGCCCCCACCACCTCCGGGCAGTGTTCGACCTTCCAATTCCAACTGGAGCAGTGGGCCTCAGCCCACAGCCCCTAAGGATGAGGAACCCAGTGGTTGGGAAGAGCCATCCCCACAGTCAATTAGTCGAAAGATGGACATTGACGATGGCACCTCAGCATGGGGAGACCCTAACAGTTACAACTACAAGAATGTGAACCTGTGGGATAAGAATTCCCAAGGTGGCACAGCACCTCGAGAACCAAACCTGCCCACCCCCATGACCGGAAAATCACCATCAGGTAAGCAAGTGCTTTTTCTCATAGGTTTTTGTGTAGAGAAGAAATTCCACTCCAGGACATTTTTATTGAGGTGCATTTATTTACTTTAGCATTATTTTCTGAGGAGGCCTCCTACAGATCTTTAACTCTTGCTAAGAAAGCCTTTCTGTAAGATGCAAGAATGGCAGCCCCTGTACTACCTCATGGTGTTCTTTTTTGGGAAAAGGAAAAAAATGTTAACATTGTATTTGTCTCCAGAGTTATTTCTCTTTTCTCTTTTTTCTATTTGTGTGTGTGTGTGTGTGTGTGTGTGTGTGTGTGTGTGTGTGTGTGTGTGTGTGTGTGTGTGTGTGTGTGTGTGTGCGCCTGGGTGCTGTCCCTGTGCTTTATCTGCTCAAAGCTAGCGCTCTACCACTTGAGCCACAGCTCCACTTCTGGCAATTTGGGTAGTTAATTGGAGATAAGAGTCTCAAAAGTCTTTCCTGCCCTGATCCACAATTCTCAGGTCTCAGCCTACTAAGTAGCTAGGACAATAGGCATGAGCCACTCATGCCCAGCTCCGGAATTACTTTTCCATATTCTTTTGGTCTACAGAATTCAAGTTTGCTTAACACACTATTCTCTAGATTGAAAAATAAAGAAGTTCCATTCTGATTCTCTTCATAGCTCATCCTTGTTGTCCATCCACTGTTGTGTGCTTGGCAAGTGTTCTGCCTCTGAGCTCTACCCCAGCTCTTCCTGTACTATCCATATTAGCACATACAGTTCTTTTCCCTTTTTTTGTGCCAAGCCTGAGGCTTGAGCTCAGGGCCTGGGTGCTGTAACTGAGCTTTTTTGCTCAGTGTTAGCTCTCTACCATTTGAGACACAGCTCTGCTTCTGGGTTTTTTTTTGGTGGTAAAGAGATAAAGAGCCGGGAGCTGGTGGCTCACGCCTGTAATCCTAGCTACTCAGGAGGCTGAGATCTGAGGATCTCGGTTCAAAGCCAGCCCAAGCAGGAGAGACCGTGAGACTCCTATCTCCAATAAACCACCAGAAAACCGGAAGTGGCGCTGTAGCTCAAGTGGTAGAGTGCTCGCCTTGAGCTGAAGAGCTGAGGGACAGCGCCTAGGCCCAGAGTTCAAGCCCCACGGCCGACCAAAAAAAAAAAAAAGAGATAAAGAGTCTCACAGACTTTCCTGTTGGGTTATCTTCAAAGCATAATCCTCAGATTTCTGCCTCCTTGAGTAGCTAGGGTTATAGGTATGAGCTACCAGCATCCGGCAGTGCTTCAGTTATTTTTCAGATGGGGTCTTAGGCATTTTTTCCTGGACTGGTTTCAGACTGTGATCCTCCTAAATCTTCTAAGTATCTGGTTCTGTTGGGATGATGGTGCTGACTTGCTAATTTTTGGCCCACGCTAGCCTTGTGATCGCTACTTACCGAGTATCTGGCCTTACAGGCCAGCATAAACCACAATGCTTAGACTAACCTGTCTCCTGATGGTGTCTGCAGTGCTTCCAGTTTTTCTTAACAGCAATAGAGTAAACATTGTGTATGTAATTTATTTTATTTTATTTTTTGGTCAGTCATAAGTCTTGAACTCTGGGCCTGGGCACTGTCCCTCAGCTCTTCAGCTCAAGGCTAACACTCTATCACTTGAGCCACAGTACCACTTCCGGCTTTTTCTGTTGATATAGTGCCTCATGTATGCGAGGCAGGCACTCTACCACTGAGCTACCTTCCCAGCCCCAATATTTTTTGAGATGATGGTATAATGTCCAGGTAGTAGAGTTACTGGGCCAAAAGTGGTGTGGGTTGGACTCTTTTTAAAAATGTCATTGCCTGATAACCTCCATAAAGGTTCAATCTCTGCTTCTGCCAAGAGGATTTGATACTTGTTTACTCTGCCTTCAGCCCCATTGAATGTTAGGTATTTTAACCGATTGTTCTTAAGAGACACTTTTTTTTTTCTTAACAGTCTGGAGCAAAAGCACACCACCTGCTCCAGATAATGGGACATCAGCCTGGGGTGAGCCGAACGAAAGCAGTCCTGGGTGGGGCGAAATGGATGATGCGGGAGCATCGACCACAGGGTGGGGGAACACACCTGCCAGCGCTCCCAATGCCATGAAACCCAGTAAGTAGACCATATTTATATTTCTAAGGATTCTTTGTTAATTAGACTGTGAGGCATTTTGGTATTTAGACAGTTGATTTGATAAGGTAATCTCAAACACTGATAGCAAATGTTGGTGCCTTTTCTTGTATTAAAAAAGTTTGCAGTGAACAAAAAGTCATAATATTATTGATTTTAAAACACAAATTAGATTTGATATCTGGTCAGGATTTTAATTTTGATGAGGAATGTGGTCTCTGCTACCCAGGGACTTGATTATTCATTCTCTCTCTCCTTTTTTTTTTTTCCTTCCTAATATGTCAGTCTTGGGATTGAATTTAGGGCTTGGATGGTATCCCTGAGCTTTTAGGTTCAAAGCTAGCAATCTACCACTTGAGCCACTGCTCCACTTCTAGCTCTCTTCCCCCTCTCCTGGACACTGAGTCCTGGGCCTTCCATATGCCATGTAAGACTGAGCTGCATCCCTAACTTTTTAGTTTAGTTCTACTGAGCACCAGTGGCTCACACCTCTAATCCCTCACTCTTTAGGAGGCTGAGATCTGAGTACCACAGTTTGAAGTCAGTCTGGGTAAATAAATTTGAAAGACTCTTACCTCCAGTTAACCAGCAGAAGTTAGAAGAAACAAATTCCAGGAAATTGAAGGATGTTTTGTTTTGTCTTTGTGATGGTGGTATTTGTTTTTGCTTTTGAGTTTTTTTGTTTTTGTTTTTGTTTTTTTGTCTTTTTTAGAGAAAGTGAGGGAGGAAGGTTGAACAAATACAGTCATGGTATTCGGTATACACTGTGGAAAATGACCTATGTAACTCACAGCAGGGATGAGAGAGGGAAAGCGAAAGAATGGGTGACATTGTCCAAAAACAAGTTAGACAATTAGTTCTTTATGATACCTGTTTTTAATATTCATCGTATGCAAATGGATATTACACACTTAAGTACATACATACATACGTACATAATGTACATGTATAAAACTATAGGACTAGAGTAAACCATGCTCATTAAGAGGATCTAAGCTGGGCATCTGTGGCTGAAGCCAGTAATCCTAGCTACTCAGGAAGTTGAGAGGTGCAAAGCCAGCCTGGGCAGGAAAGTCTGTGAGACTCTTATCTACAATTAACCACCAGAAAACCGGAAGTGGTACTGTGGTTCAAAGTTGTAAAGCACTAGCTTTGAGTGAAAAAGATCAAGGACAGCACCCAGACCTTGAGTTCAAAGCCCCACAGCAAAAAAAAAAAAAGGACCCAAGCTGGGCATCAGTAATTCTAGCTACTCAAGAGGCTAAGATCTAAGGATCATGGTTGGAGCTAGCCTAGGCAGAAAAGTCTGTGTTATGCTTATGTCCAATTAACCACCAAAAAGCTGGAAGTAGAATTGTGGCTCAAGTAATGGAGTACTCTCCTTGAGCAAAACATTCAGGGACAGCACCCAGGCCTTGAATTCAAACCCCAGGACTGATACTAAACAGCAAAAAAAAAAAAAAAGAGCTAAGTTTGTTTAATTGTGATAAGCTGTCTTCAATTGTGGAATTTCTGTCTACTGAGTACCTGGGGAACTCAGTATGGGGGGAGGAGGTGAACATTCAACCAGAAATCAAAAGATTTTGATTGTACTGTCCATGGCTTTACTCTCTAGAATACGAGTGATAGCATTTGCCTTACCATCTCGATGGAATGCATAAAATTACAAAGATACTGGCCGGGTGCTGGTGGCTCACACCTGTGATTCTAGCTACTCAGGAGGCTGAGTTCTGAGGATCATGGTTCAAAGCCATCCCAGGCAGGAAAGGCCATGAAACTCTTATCTCCAATTAACCACCAGAAAATGGGAAGTGGTTCTGTGGCTCAAGTGGTAGAGTACTTGCCTTAAGCTCAAGAGCTGAGGGACAGCGCCCACCCAGGCCCAGAGTTCAAGCCCCATGACTGGGAAAAAAAAAAAAAAATATATATATATATACATATATATATATAAATATATATGTATATACATACATTATATATATAATCCTAAAATGCTACATCTAGATGGAAATTATTTTTCTGGTTTTTCTGACATATAGTTGTTTAAAAGGGCTAATCACTCTTTCCTTAAAGATTCCAAATCTATGCAAGATGGCTGGGGGGAGAGTGATGGGCCGGTCACAGGAACTCGCCATCCCAGCTGGGAAGAAGAGGACGATGGAGGAGTCTGGAACACCACCGGCTCTCAGGGAAGTGCTTCCTCCCACAACTCAGCAAGCTGGGGACAAGGAGGGAAGAAGCAAATGAAGGTAGCCTGCTTCTGAAATGTTTGAGCTTGCTTACTCATTCCTAGAAGGCAGACCTGAGAATTAACAGAATTAATGCAGAGAGAGAAACAGTTGGCATCTCTGAGATCCTAACTAAAGGGGAAAACATTTCCTTTGAAACCAAGGGTACTTACCTTATCCTCCTTACCAGTGACATTGAGTTCTTGCTACTGTGTGTTAAGTAGATTTTCAAATATAGGATCTTTTGTTTTTGGTTTTTATGTTGCAAATTGGTTGGTAGCTTTCAGTGCGCTCTTTAAAAATGCTTTTTGGCCAGGCGCCAGTGCTTCATGCCTGGACTCCTAGCTACTCGTGAGGCTGAGACATGCCCTTACGTTCTAGTAGACTTTTGTCCATTATTTGGTCATTTACAAATTAGTAGTGAGTCTACACTAACTGGATGAAAGATACTGATAATGAATGATGAAAAGATAATGAATCCCCAACTCAGTTGACACCTCAGATTGACTTAATTGTCAGCTTCAGGAGCAGATAAAAATAAATCTGTGCAGTGACATCTGTCACCCCTTAATATTCCAGCTCCAGTGACAGTAATTCTGACCTCTTACACTAAGGACTTTTGTTTATTTTTATTGTTTGTTGGCTCTGGGCTTGAACTCTGGTCTAGATGCTATCCCTGAGCTTTTTTGCTCAATGCTAGTACTCTACCACTTTGATCCACAGCTCTACTTTGGGTTTTTGAAGGTTAATTGTAGATAAGAGTCTCACAGGACTTTTCTAATCAGGCTGGCTTCAATCCACAATCTTCAGATCTCAGCCTCCCAAATAGGATTACAGGTGTGAGCCTTCAGTTCCTGGCACTTTTATTTTTTTTAATGGTCATAAAATACACATAAGGTCAAATTTACCATCTTAACCATCTTCAGATGTAGAGTTCAGTGCATCAGGTATGTTCACACACAATTCATTTTGTGAAATGAAAACTCTGTAGCTATTAAACAATGCCTTCACTAGGCACTGGTGACTCATACTTGTAATTTTGGCTGCTCATGAAGCCAGTAACTGGAGAATGAAGCTAAGCCAGACCAAAAAAGCCTGAGAAATTTTATCTCCAAAATAATCAAAGGCTAAGCTGGAAGTATGGCTCCAATAGTAGAGCACCAGCCTAGCAAATGTAAGGTCTTCAGTTAAAATTTCAGTACAAACAAAACATACCAAAAATTAAAAAAAAAAAAAAAAGAGGAAGAAAAAAATGGCTTCCTTTCTCCTTTGCCTCCAGTGAGGACCTTTTTTTCACCTTACAACAAATGCCCTATCACTTTAAAGAATAGTAAGATTGATATGACAGATGTCACCGCACACATATTTTTACTGACCCTAGGTCATTGTCTCCCATCCCACCAAATCCCCATCTAGTGGAAGTGGAGCGAGCTGATTGTCACTGCTGCTTTGTTCAGGAGAGAAGCCAGCTTGTCTCACTAAAAAATGTAGACCCACCTCTGCTCTGCTTGATGTAGGAGCTTGTGTCAATGTCTTCCACCAGGTTTCTTTCCCTCTGTGGATCAGTGGCCTTCGTGCAGATGAGGACTCCTGTGTGAGTTCCTCATTGTGTCCACATGGGAGTAATGTCTGGTTTTGGCAGGATCCTGTCTAAATAGTGCACACTGACAACACCGGTCTTTCTCCCTATATGAGCCAGGTTGGCCCTGAGCTCCTTCTTCAGTGGAAGTAGTGACACAGGGTGTTACAAAACCTGGCAGTGACTTCTTTCCATGTGAAAAGTAGAAGCACCGCATGTTTTTCTAGTGCCATCTAGTTCAGCCCTGGGAGTTAAGCTAAGACATAGCTGTTAACTAGGGCTTACTAATCATGCCAGCTAACAGGTAAACCATCAAAGTGACAAACAGAAATAATGCTCAAAAAGGTAAATTTTTGGTCCTACATTTCAGTAGGAGGCTGAGACACATTCATGGTTCTGAGGTTCCATATTTCATTTCTGTAGTGCTCACTCAAAGGAGGAAACAATGATTCATGGATGAATCCTCTCGCCAAACAGTTTTCAAATATGGGATTGCTGGTAAGTTTTATTTAACTTTTATGTATAATATGTCTCAAATTTGAGGCTTAGTACTAATTTGAAGGCCACTACCATATATAGTAATACAGCGCTTGTTTTCTATACTTTTATTCTTATAGCATATACTGGTATTTAAAGTTGAAGACTTGTACATTTACTATCTTGGGAGGGTAGGAAAAAAGTCAGACACTTAAAAATTTATACTGTATTCTCAACATTGCTGTACCAGTTTTTACATTACAATTTTAAAATAACAATATAGTAACTAGGAAACCCATACTGGGATTAATTATCTAGGGAAAAGGTGGGGAATTTCTAGTTTTCTTGTCTCTTGGGAACTCTATGAAGGCACTCGATCTTGATTGCCAAAAAAGCAACTGACTTGAGTTGGCAGCACGTTTCAAGACTTGATGACTTGACAAGTCACAAGAAATTGTCATCCTTTGGCTGCTGCTCATGGGATCTGATCCTGGGCCAGCTGGAACTTGAGGATGAGAGTTTATTTCTCCAGGCAGCTGTTGAATTGTTGCTCTGTCTGTGGATTAACTGAGGCTGATGGTGTGTGAAGATTGGACTTTAGCTGCATAGGCATGAATTTCAGTGAGACTATGATATAGAAAACATTACGGTCCTCATCCCAGAGTAGAATTCATGTCAGAGGATTTAGTGCCAGTGGTAAGATGTACTCTCACATGAAGGTAGAACTCCTTTCCTGATTCAAATGTGTACAGTTTAATGCTCTTTTACCTCTTTACTTTTTTTCAGAGTCAAACTGAAGATAATCCAAGCAGCAAAATGGATTTGTCTGTAGGTGTGTATCACTCCGCCATTAGGAGTGGAGTGGAGTGAAGCTGATGGTGGGCTTTGGGATCTCTTGTTTAGTGTGAGTTGGGATGATGCAGTTCAGTGACAGACATTTTTTGAATACTTACTTACTTTCAAGGTTCCATGCAAAAATCCAGGAAAGACTACAAATGAATGTTTTCTGAATAGAAGGGCATAGAGGTCAGTGTTGTTGTCTACCCTAGAAAACAGTGTAGGTGGTAAGAGAAATCCGTAGTCTGATCTTCTAACCTTGGGCTGTGATTGTGTCAGTGTATAGTAGCAGATTTAGAGAGCTGTGAAGGGGAAGTGGAAATAACTCCTGCACCTGTGAGATTATATCTTGCCTGTCAGACTGTGAACACATTCAGCTGTGTTCAGCTCATAAAAAAAGTTTAGGGCAACAACTGCACCATTTATCTAGCAGATGTTAAATAGCAAAAGCTGACAACTTCTCTCACTGAGAACATTTGAATTTTGTGAGCAAGATGTGTTCATCAAACCAGTAACCACAGTCTAAATATTTTCTTAGCTAGATTAGTCCCTAAGCTCCACAGAGGACAAGCTACAGCAGATATGTTTGCAGATAGATGTTTTGGGTTTTTTCTATGAAAGGACCCTGAACCAGTGAGAGCCAGAGCCTGGTCTCATCCTCAAGAGTAGAAAGAGCTTGTGCCCACCCCACAGAGCAGGGTGGGCCAGGTCACTCTTGGTTCTTGAGATTGATTCATTGATCTTGAGATCAATTTAGTGATCTTGAGGTCATTCATTGATTCCAAAAATTTTCACCCTGCTTTTGTTCTTTCAGATAAAAAATTTGATGTGGACAAGCGAGCAATGAATCTCGGGGATTTTAATGATATCATGAGGAAGGATCGATCTGGGTTCCGTCCACCTAATTCCAAAGACTTGGGAACCACAGACAGTGGGCCTTATTTTGAGAAGGTGAGTTGAATCCTTTGTTTAAGGTAATAGTTCCCAAGAACTGCTTTATTCTTTTTTAATAACTGATTCTGGAAAAAAAAGCATTTGAGTTACTGGACTCAGTGAACAAAGCACAAACATCACCTGCATTTATGTGGTGACATGAAGACAATACATGTCAAAAGGTGATTGGAAAGAGCTAGGACCGTCTGTCTTTAGTATGTATCATGGTGAAGGTCTTAAGCTCTGGGATATTCATGAAGTTTCACAGACAGTGGAAACAAAACATGGAATATTTTAGAAAGAAATTATTCCAGATTAATTTTTCTTGCTGTTCTTAGTCAACTATATTCTTAAACTATTACTAACTACCAACTGAACTTGGGATTTGTACAGACATTTGTATCTCCTAAGGCTTTGACTTCTAGGGTTGTTTTTTTTTTTTTTTTTCAGGAGAGTGGGAGGAACCACTTTATCTTTCCCACTTAGTACTTTATCTTTAGTTACAATGATACTTTTCAAATTCTCAACTACCTTATTAAAATAGGTTATTTTTATGCGCTGATTTTGATTTTACACTTTTAGTGAAGATGATGCCTTGATTCAAAATACCAATTTGTAGTGTTCCTTATATTCACTAAGCAACTAAAACTTTTAGATTTGACTGCTTTTGATAAGATTGATACTGGTCCAGACAACAGTATATTCACAACAAGATTGCCTTGGCTTCTGTCTCAGGAGCCACACAGACAGAGAAATCAATAGTAGATACATAAAAGTAAAGGGTCTGGCAACTGTTACCGTAATACAATGGAACTTAATGTGTTACTAACTTAGAGGAAAAGGAAAAATCATATCAAAGAGGATGACAGATGGTCTCTGTTGGGCAAAGTATGATTTATTATCAGATCCAAATTCCATCCTCGGTTACTGCTAATACACTGTCACTTTGTTTATTCCAATGTTTCTCTCTTTCCCTTCTTGCATTCTGTTGCTTCACTAACCAACACTCATTGTGATTGGCTAACTCCTACTACCTTTCAGCTGACTTTGCCTTTCTCCAATCAAGATGGGTGCCTTGGGGATGAGGCTCCCTGCTCTCCCTTCTCCCCTTCTCCCAGCTACAAGCTGTCTCCCTCTGGTTCCACACTACCCAACGTCAGCCTTGGAGCAATCGGCACAGGGCTCAACCCCCAAAACTTCGCTGCTAGACAAGTAAGGAGGCCTCTCAAATTTGTAACTGCTTGGCTAGGCCTCGCCTTGGCCCTGGTCTTCAGTTTATTGCATCATTTGTCTGTCTTGGGAAATTTGTTGATTACTGAATGCACAGAATGATATTAAGTGTAGGTTTTAGCTCTTTCAGCCCATAGAACCATCTCTTCTCATGTTTCTCAACATGGACTTTATTTTAAACGTGTTTCTTTTGTCTTCTCATTTTTGATCATGAGTTCATATTTAATAACTGATAAATAACTTAGGAAAATATTAACAAGGCAATATAGGTACCTTATATAATCTAATTTAGCAATATACCTACTTTTAATATTAAATAGGGTAGTAAGTCATAGCTTGGAGGTCTTTTCTTCCATTTAATATACCTACTAAAGGGGGGCTGGGAAGTTAGCTCAGTGGTAGAGCGCTTGCCTTGCATGCCTGAGGCCCTGGGTTCGATTCCTCAGCACCACATAAGCAAAAAGAAAAAAGCCGGAAGTGGCGCTGTGGCTCAAGTGGTAGAGCACTAGCCTTGAGCTGAAGAGCTGAGGAACAGCACTCAGGCCCAGAGTTCAGGCCCCACGACCGGACCCAAAAAAAAATATATACCTACTAAAAAATAAGGACAGGGTTGTAAAATTAAATGAAGAATACCACATATTGCTAATCTAGTTTTTTTAAATTTGAAGTAGGATAATTGTTACCCAGAGAAGAGCAACTTGTAACAGATAGTAGAGCTTTGAGAAGAGTGCGTATTGCTCACGTGTGGCCATTAGACCTAGAACAGCCCTTTGCTAGGGTTGTACTTGGCAGTCCTCCAAGCAAGGAAGATTCGCACAATAGAAATGGAGTCTGCAGTTTTCTTGGATCAGGCCTCCTCACTCTCACAGGCTTGAGGGAGGGGACATAGCAGGGCTGGCTCTCCACAGTCTCTTCTGACTATTTTGGAGAAAGCCAGGAATTTGATGCCTCAGTGCCTTTGCATCAGTAATTCTGAAAATGTGCCATCATCCTGTGAGCCCCCCTTGCCACTGTGCTCTTCACCTCAAGAGTCACAGAAGGACATTAATTATACATTGTGTAATTATTAGGTGTATCCAGTCTGTCTTATGTGGCTTGCATGTGTAAGTTAGAGGAGGGGTAAAGTGTTGTCCAACATTGCCCAGCCAACTTACACACAGGCCTCTGTGCCTTCTGGTAGTTACACATTTCTAAGAGTAGATTATACTGTCTTCAGATAAGTTACTTCTCAATCGTAGATAATTTATTTTCTGCCGTAATATTTTGATGTTTATCACAGTTCTCTTACAGAGGACATGGCTATGTATTGTTTATATAAACAGGGGAAAAATAATAACATAGATATTTTGAGTACTCATTTTTGGGTGACGTATTGAAACTATAAAACAGTCATAATAATGTAGCTCCAAGATCACATAATTATCCAGTACTCTATGTGTAGTTCATAGCTGGAATATAATAAAACAGCCAGGCCAGTTTGGCATTGGACTTTTAAGATTAAGGCCTTCTTTATTTTGGATCTGTGGATTGCTGCAATCAGTGCATATGATTGATGCAAAGTCTATTATTATCAGTGTGTGCACAGATTCTATGGTAAGGGTTTTGAATACACTTCATATTAAAAAGAAAATTTAAGCTAGGCATAGTGTTTCAGACCTGTAATCCTACATGGAAGGAAGAGATTGAGGATCACAGTTTAAGGCCAACCTTGGCAAAACCAAGTTTGAAAGATTCCATCTTGATTAAGATGGCTGTGCACACTGGCACATGCCTGTCATCCCGTCTATGGAGCAGGCTGGGCACAGTGGCACTCGCCTGTCATTCCCAGCAACACAAGGAAGTTTGTAGCCTAGGGAAGCCCCAGAATAAAGTAACACCTTGAAGATAACCAATGCAAAAAGTTGCTGAAGGCATGGCTGAAGTGGTAGAGTGCCTGCCTAACAAGTTCAAAGTAGAAAAAAAAAAGTTTAGGGCTGGGAAGGTGGCTCAGTGGTAGAGCGCTTGCCTTGCATGCCAGAGGCCCTGGGTTCGATTCCTCAGTACCACATAAGCAAAAAGAAAAAAGCCAGAAGTGGCGCTGTGGCTCTGTGGCTCAAGTGGTAGAGCGCTAGCCCTGAGCTGAAGAGCTGAGGGACAGTGCCCAGGCCCAGAGTTCAGGCCCCACGACCAGACCCAAAAAAAAGAAAAAAGAAAAAAAAAGTTTAAAAAATAACATTTGAAGTTTTGATTTGCTAGGTGCCGGTGGCTCACACCTATAATCCTAGCTACTTAGGAGGCTGAAATGTAAGGATCACAGTTCAAAGCCAGTCTGGGTAGGAAAGTCTGTGAGACTTATCTCTACCTAATCACAAAAAAAAGCTAGAAATGGTGCTGTGGCTCAAGTGACAGAGCACTAGCCTTGAGCAATGAGCAAAGTGGAGCTCAAGGACAGCGCCTGTGGCCTAGGCCATAGGTCAAGCCCTATGACCAGCCCCCCCACCCCCCAAAAAAAGAAAAAGTTTTCTAACTCACAGACCATTTCAGTCAGCTTGACGATTTGTTAAAAATTTTTATGCTTCTGTGAATTAAACCCTGAGGTTGAGGCAGATAACTCTGGGGACTCAGATCATTTTAGAAGCCACACATAAAGCCACTAAAGTTTTATTTATTTACAGGAGATCATCTAATATTAACATATATAAACACTTTGTACTACCTTTGTCCTAATTTCTAAATTTAATTTTTTTAAAGGCCTCATATTTATGATTGCCCCTAATTCCTCACTGTGTAAAATAATATATCTGGGCCAAGAAAATGAGCTGTTTTAATGCCAGGGTTCCATTTTAAGATATTGGTAGGGCTGAGGGTGTACCACAAATGGTAGAGTGCTTAACTAGAAGTGCAAGGTCCTGAGTTCAGATGCCAGGACTAAGGCAAAAGAGAGAAAATACAGTTACTGTCTCTAGTAGTAGAGTAATTTGCCTAGCAAGCTCAAGACTCAACATCATGAGTTCAAACCCAAGTAAAGAGCCTCTTTGATAAAGAGCCTCTTTGATAGACTGCAGTTGCCTTACTTATTTCCATTTCAGGTTAATACCAGTGCTGCATGTGGCTTCAGAGGTCCTTGGACTTTATTTGGGAAGGGAGGAATTTATCAGCTAAGAGGGAAGCAGTTCTTAATTTTATAAAAAAAACTTCTAAAAGGCACATTCTTTTAAATACTACTTATCAAAGCAAAGGTTGAAATTAATGTGACTAATCCAGGTGCCGTGATTTGTACCGGTAGCTCCAGTTACCTAGGAGGCTGATAAAGCAGAATTTCTTGAGTCCACAGGTGCAAGGCTAGTCTTGGCAACTCCATAGCAAGCTTTCATCTCAAAGTCTGTAGTAGCATTAGAATGACTCTCAGGAGTTGTGTGAGGCCCCGGCTTAAAGACCCAGCATCTCCCCACTAAAAACGTAATTTCATACTTGCCAAAACAAACTCTGGCAAAGATTATAGCTTCCTATAACTTCACCATCTAAGGACCAGTGGTGAATAAATGACCTTTAGTATCAAGGTCATTACTTTAAACTTAATCCTCTTTTTTGGGTGATGTTCAGTCAAACCATCCAGTTATCAGAACAAAGAAAACTTAGAACTGATCTATCCTTCATGTGACAAATCTGATGAGTTTAGACAGGATGAGTAGGAGTATTAGTCTCTAGAATTAAAGATCTTCTCATATTTAAGCAACCATTTGAAGACATAAAATTCATGATGGGTTTCTTTTTCTTTTTATGAAACACACAGATTTGAATTGCCATTTCTACTTTGTTTATAATCATTTTTATTTTTAGTGCTTTTAAGTTTATTGATTTGCCTAAAGCAATCCCTTTAATCTATTTTTGAATCATTAAAGCCATCAAAGTATCTTTAATGTTCTAGAACTTTACGGTGCTTTTAACAAATTCTTTAAAATAGTCATCCCTATGGCAAGCTGAAGGTGGTGACCTGAGAGTTCACATGCTGAGTTTAAACAGTGGTGCAGCTTTCTTTGTTGAAGCTGCTCGGTGGGATGTTTCAGGATACCTCATATGATATGTCCATCTTACAGACTAGGGCTCTGGGAGTAGGAAAACTCAAGGGTTGAGCTGGTGGTGAAAGGTAGAATGAAAGTAACTCTTAACAGTTTGATGGTATCATCACGATGTTCCAGTGCTTGGATGACACAGAGATGAACTAGTGGAATGCATGTGGAATGGGGAAGAAGGTTTAGAGAAGAAGACCTTCACAGTGACCTCTGACCCAGGTCTTGAAAAGATCAAGTGGATATGATGTAGAAAAGAACCTCAGGAAATGGGGCAAGGTGACTTACTACTGTATCCCTAGCACTCAGGAAGCAGAAGCAGGAAGAGCACAAATTTGAAGCTAGCCCTGGGCTCCATTGAGGGAGAGCCCCTCCCATCTCTAAAACAAATTTAAAAAGTAACTTTAGGCAAAGGAGGTAACAGTGTTGGGTTATCAAAATCAGGAAGGTGCAATCACCCTTTGAGCCCAGCTTTCTCCAACTCAGTGGAAGGGTAGTGAGGTGCTCAGTGAGGTGAGCCCTCAAGAATCAGGAGGTGAAGCTTATTTGTAACTAGACTGATATCCAAACATTGGAATGAGAAGTTACAGGTGAGTAATGTTCATTTTAGTATCCCTGAAACAATTTTTACTGTTTCCCTTTCTCCCCTTTTTATCTTACTGTGTGATTGATTGACATTTACTCATCTAGTAAAGAAGGGGTCACAAGTCCTGGGTAAAGAAAGGGGTTCAGGCTGGAGTAGGGTCCTCATGATAATAGGCTCACCACCATGGCAGTAATGACATGGTTCAATTAGTCCATTGTAATGTTATTTTACAATTGATAGGATAAGCGTGTATTTTTATGCAGGTGCCTTTTAAGATCAAGTTTAAGGACAAATTTGATCACCTCATTGAGGGCTGGAAGGGTACTCAAGCCATAGAAGAGCACCTGCCTGGCAAGCGAGAACCCCAGTACCACTAAAACACAAAGTCGTTGAGCTTAATCTTACAGTTTATACCTTTTAGTCATAAAAGAAAATGTAGTGCCGATTCTAACATCTGGCTAAGTTTTAACTCTTTCAGTTTGTAGAGTTCATTAGCCTGCACAGCTGGTGAATGATATGCCTGTGAACTGATTTGCATAGCTGCCCCAGCGTTCCCAGATGAGAAGCATCTCAGTTATACAATGCTGTGATTGCATGGAACACAGACCATGATTCTTCTGAGGGACAGAAACCAAAATTGCTTCTTACTTGCATTTGCTCTCATTGACAAAAAGCCTTACTGGTGCTCTTATTTCTACAGGGCGGCAATCATGGTTTATTTGGAAACAGCACAGCACAATCGAGGGGTCTGCACACACCAGTGCAGCCACTGAGTTCTTCTCCTGGTCTCCGGGCGCAAGTGCCTCCCCAGTTTATCTCCCCCCAGGTAAGCAATTTCACGGGTCCACAGTTGTTGTTGTTGTAGTTTGCCAGTCCTGGAACTTGAACATGGGACCTAGGTGCTGTCCCTGAGCTTCTTTTGCTCAAGTCTGGTGCTCTACCACTTGAGCCACAGCGCCACTTCCAGCTTTTTTGCGGGTTAATTGGAGATCAGAGTCTCATGGACATTCCTGCCCCGGCTGGCTTTGAACTGCAATCCTCAGAGCTCAGCCTCTTTAGTAACTAGGATTATGGGTGTGAGCCACTCATGGCCATTGTGTCCACACTTTTGATTTTAAAGACAAGGTGGTTACCAGTTACTAAATGAGAAGTGACTGGTTTTATAGGCATGAACAGAGTGATGATTACTAGTCTAAAATTAAACCAACTTCAAGATTTTTAGAACAAAATATCACATCTCTTTTATTGCATCATGCATGCAAACACAGTAGATATTTTTTCATGAAAAGCATTTTACATCTTCTCCTAGTTATCTTTGTAATATTTATATACATAAGTAAGACTACTTTATTAATGGAAATGCTACAACTCTCGGAGGCTGGTTGTCCTCAAGGATTCACCCACATTTGAACAAGAGAGTTTCCAGATTCTAGGTTATTTTGAAAAATTCTGAGGAGCTATTTGCTAAACTATTGAGCTGATACTCTGGGGTTGTAGAACTAATGAAAAAACAAAGATGCCTGGGCGGACATCTTACTCATGGAGCAGCTGTGTGGAGGATTTGGTCCTTAGATGTCACAGGAAATGTTTAGGTCTGCTTCTCCCTCAGAGATGCTCAGTTCACTGTCAGGGAAGTTACACATGCTCTGAAAACCCAGTAGACAACAGATAGTAAGTGTGGTAGATATTGTATGACATGTTCAGCAGAGAGATTCTGATGAAAATATACATATATGCCAAAAATGCCATGGGAAATCCCTGAGTGCAGTTTAGTACACACTTTTGAAAAAATGAAGGACAAGAATGCAAAACAATCTCAGCCAGGCGCCGGTGGCTCACGCCTGTAATCCTAGCTACTCAGGAGGCTGAGATCTGAGTATCACGGTTCAAAGCCAGCCCGGGTAGGAAAGTCTGTGAGACTCTTATCTCCAATAAACCACTAGAAAACCAGAAGTGGCGCTTTGGCTCAAGCAGTAGAGCGCTTGCCTTGAGCTGAAGAGCACAGGGACAGCGCCCAAGCCTAGAGTTGAAGCACCACGACGGACCCAAAAAAAAAACAAGAATGTAAAACAATCTCTGTTGGAGAATGGAACTGGTACCAACAGGAAGCAGAAAGGCCAATAAAGAGGGTGAATGAGGATGAATATAGCCAAAGTTTATTTCCTAAAATAGAAAGATGAAATCTATTGAAGTTACTTTAAAGTGAGGGATAAGGATGAGTGATAGAGAGATGAGTTGATAGCGATACATTATATGCGTATATAGAAATGTTACAATGAGGTGTCCCTTGTACAGTTTAAGGTTCAGTAGAGGCAGGAGTGGTAGCGCTTGCCTGTAATCCAAGCTATTTAGGAGGTAAAGAGCAGGAGGATTTGGTTCAAGGCTCACTCAAGCAAAAAGTTAGCAAGACTTTATCTCAGTTAACAAGCTAGGCCAGCTCATTCCTATAATCCTAGTTACTTGGGAGGTGGAGATAGAGAGGATCATGAGCTAAGATCAACCTGATAAAACAAAATGTTAGGCCTGTAATCCTAGCTACTCAGGATGCTGAGATCTGTGGATCACTGTTCAAAGCCAGCCCAGGCAGAAAAGTCAGTGAGACTCTTATGTCCAATAAACCACCAGAAAACTGGAAGTGGTGCTGTGGCTCAAGTGGTAGAGTAGAGTGCTAGCCTTGAGCTCAAGAGCACAGGGACAGCGCCCAAGCCCAGAGTTCAAGTCCCACGACAGACATAAGAAAAAAAAAATGTCACAGTACCCCATTTCAAATAAAGGTGGGCATGGTGGCATGTACTTGTCTTTGTCATCCAGCTGTGTGGGAAATGACATTAGGACAATTATAGTCCTAAGATGAACATAACACAAGACCCTATTCAAAAACATAACTGCAGCAAAGAGCTGGGAGTGGCTCAAGTGGTCAGGGCCCTGAGTTCAAACTCCAGTACTGCTAAAAAGAAAAGCATGGACAACAGAATTTCTGGAATTGGTTGAGGCTTTTCCCTAGCAGTGACATTTTAACTGAGTCTTGGAGAAGAAGTCAGAGTTTCTAGACACAGACAGATTAAACTGGCCTTCCAGTGAAGCAACAGAATCTCTGTTAGAGGAGTTTGCAGCGGAATTTGGCAAAGCTTTGTTTACTTTGCTCTTGACTTTCTACCTTGGCCTGATCACCTCAGGTAGTTATTATGTGCACCCTAAATTTTGACTATTGCTAGAGATAGTGGAGGGTGAACAAGGCCTTTCATCTGTGTAGTCACAGCATAATGCTCTAACACTAGCAGAGATGGAGGCTGTGTTGGGCTGGTGCAGGCTCCAGAGCGCAGGAGCACAGGCCAGGCAGTGATGATATGCGGGCACTCTTGTAACCAGCTCCTCTCTCATCTCCATGGTACAGGACTCCATTGTCGTGCCTTCCTGCCTCTTTTTAGCGTATGTGGGCAGCGCTTACCCTTTCTCCCTTCTGATTTAATTGTCTTTCCAGCACTAGGTGGGTTCTTGTCTCTCCACCATCTTTACAGGTTATTTTTCTGTCACAGGCTTCCAGCCTCACCTCTTAAACCTCTCTTGATGATCTCACCTAGTGACTTACGTTCAAAATTTGTGTCTGTAGCCCCCACTTTTTCTCAGCTTCAAGGATTGCTGGGCATCTTCACTAGGATGCCTTATAGGCATCTCCAGTTAACATACCAACTGAGCTTCCTATTCTGAAAAACACCTTCATCCAAGTAAGTAGGCCCCATTCTGCAGTGGTTCAGACCAAAGGCTCAGGCCAGGATGGGACCTCTCATGGTCTATATGGTTTTGTTTGTTTGTTTTTAATGCCAGTCTTGAGGCTTGAACTCTGGGCCTGGGCACTGTCTTTTAGCTTCTTTTGCTCAAGGCTAGCATTCTACCACTTAAACCACAGCACCACTTTCAGCTTTTACTGTATGTGGTACTGAGGAATCAAACACCCTGGGCTTCATGTATGCGAGGCAAGCACTCTACCACTAAGCCACAGTCCCAGCCCTCTCAAGGTCTGTATTCTATCCAACAAACCCTTGCTTCCACACTTTATCAAGGCTCTGTCCCTTACCACCTCCACTGGTCTAGTCCTTGGTCGGGCCACTCCCTAACTCCTAGACTATTTGGGGACCTCCTGCCTGCCCCACCCTGTTCATCCCAGCCTGAGTCAAACAAGTCCTGTAAAGCCATTGCCAGTAGCACATGAACACTTGAAATGTAGCCTAATTTAAATGTAGCTTAAATTTAAATGGTACTATGTCAATATTGCAGAAAGTTCTGCCATGGCACTACTCTAGAACACTAGATAGACCACCTAGCTCCTTTACACGGAGTCCCATCGCAGCTTACTGTCTCACCAAGGGCAGTGTTCATGGTTCTTGGTGACCTGTCTCCTACATTCATTCCTCTCAGCCAACTGGCCCTACATGCCAGTCTTGCCCCTAGACACTCTTCCTCTGATCGCCCCTCGGCTCCATCTTTATTCCCATTGGATCTCCATGTCAGTACCACCTTATCAGAACCTTTTCCCAGGGCTGGGAAGGTGGCTCAGTGGTAGAGTGCTTGCCTTGCATGCATGAAGCCCTAGGTTCGATTCCTCAGCACCACATAAGCAAAAAAGCCGGAAGTGGTGCTGTGGCTCAAGTGGTAGAACATTAGTCTTAAGCTGAAGAGCTGAGGGACTGTGCCCAGGCCCAGAGTTCAGGCACTATGACCGGACCCAAAAAAATAAAATGACATTTCTGTATTTTAAAAAAAGTGGAATAGTTCTTTTTAAAAATTAAGACAAGGTAGCCACACTGAAAACTTGCATATGCAGGGCTAGGAATGTGGCTTATTGGTAGAGTGTCTAGCATTCATGAAGCCCTGGATTCAGTACCACATACACAGCAGAAGTGGCACTGTGGCTCAAGTGGTGAATAGAGTGCTAGCCTTGAGCACCAGTGACAGTGCCCAGGCCCTGAGTTCAAGCCATAGGACTGGTAAAAAAAAAAAAAAAAAAGACAAAAACAAAAAAACTTGTATATGCAAAAAAAAATTCTAGAAATTCTCAACCCTTGTTCAGACTTTGTACAAGTACAGGCATACAGTTCACTAAAAGCTGCTATTGTTGAAATTGTGTCCCAGTGCTTAGTGTTTTCTCCTGTCCTCCTGTAATTTTTTTGGCAGCACTGGTTTGAACTTAGGATTTCATACTTACTAAGTAGGTTTTGTTTTGTTTTCTGTTGGTGCTGGGGAGAGAGCCCTGGGCTCTAGCACTGAGCTACAGCCTTAGCCCATATTGATCATTCTTACTGATGTATTACCAGGTATGTGTACTATGATTTACTTGACACTTTCTTTCCAGCATTACTGGCTTTTAAAATACTTCTAAATTGGGGCTGGAGAGGTGGCTCAGTGGTAGAGCGCTTGCCTTGCATGCATGAGGCCCTGGGTTTGATTCCTCAGTACCACATAAGCAGAAAAAAAAAAAGCCAGAAGTGGTGCTGTGGCTCAAGTGGTAGAGCGCTAGCCTTGAGCTGAAGAGCTGTGGGACAGCACCCAGGCCCAGAGTTCAGGCCCCACAACCGGACCCCCAAAAAAAAAATACTTCTAAATTTTCACTGTAAGTAATGCTGCTAGGAAATTCTTATCATATTATACATTTGTTTTATTTTGAACTTGTGATTCTCTTGCCTCTGCTGGTTTAGGTAAGCATCACCATACCTGGCTTGTTTTCCAAACTTACTTGCCCAGAATAAAAATTGGATCAGAGAAAAAGTGTGTGCGTGCGCGCGCGTGTGTGTGTGTGTGTGTGTGTGTGTGTGCGCTTGGGCTTTGAAAGTATGTGTGTGTGTGTGTGTGTGTGTGTGCGCGCGCGCGCGCCGCTTGAACTTAGAGCTTGGGCTTTGTCCTTTAGCTTTTTTTGCTCCACGCTGGTGCTCTACCACTTGAACCAGAGTTCCATTTCTGGCTTTTTGGTGGTTAATTGGAGATAAGAATCTCATGGACTTTCCTGCAGGTGCTGATTTCAAATCTCAATCCTCAGATCTCAGCTTCCTGAGTAGGATTATAGGTCTGAGCCATCAGCATCCAGCAAACATGAACAGTTTTAAAAGTTTTTGTAAACATTGGATTTCAAATCCATTTGGACCACTTTACAAGGGCAGCTAGTATTTAATGTAAGTATAGACAGCAGACACTGAAACTTGTCTAAGATTTGTTACAATGGTGAGAGTATAGCTGGGTAGTAGGTGTTTGCCTCACATATGTGAGGAACTAAGTTCTGTCCACAACACTGGGGCTAGGGAGTTGTTAAGACCATCTTGTCTTTACAGTTGCTTTGTCCCTCCTGTCACTCAAGTCTTCAGAGTAACACATTCCAGCAGGCTTTCTGTCTTGCCTTCAATTGCTGTCATTTTGTACCTGCAGTGCTTTCATTAAGTACATATTGATTACAAGAGCTTCACTTTCTACTGCTCAGCTGGAGACTGAAGGGGTTTTAAGCCAGCATAATTAACTCTGTGCAAGAGGAATGTGCAGATGTGCACTTTAATTATGCTGCAACCCAGGTACAGGCAGCCGTTTGCCAGGAATTTAATAGTACTTCTCTCCAGTCCTGCTGTAACAAAAGAGGAAGAGTGTGTGCATGCGTGCAACCTGCAGAAGAGTTGAGCAGGGCTAGTTAGGAAGTCCTCAGAAGTATAACATTGATTATCTCAGCAGGCAAGTTCTACAACGTATGTGGTAACACTATTTAAACGTAAAATTGTATTCAGATGGTTTATATACTGAGATCTGGGGGGATTGCAGCTCAAAGCCAGGCAAGATATAAAAGTTCATGAACTTTTCTCTCCAAAATAACTAGCAAAATGCACATGGCTCACATGGTAGCGCATCAGCCATGAGCAAGCAAGCCACACAAGTACAAGGCCTTGAGTTCCAACTCCAGTACCAGCATGCATAGATAGATAGACAGATGCCATTCTTTGCTTTTTTGTTGTCTTTCTGTATCATTAAACAATATAATTTGTCTTATTTTACCTTTTTTTGTACTTTATGTAATAATCCCATATAATATATGCCTACTTCCCCTTGTTTTTCTTATTTTTGCTTGACATTATTTCTACAATTTTCCTACCTGTGGTTCATATGTCTCCCTTTATATGAATGTATTATAACTTGTTTAACTTTTCTGCTTCTAAACATAAATAGTTTCTCTTTGTTTGCTATTATAAATAGTACTGCTATGGATATTCCTACTTGTCTGATAGGCTGCACTTCTCTTGGTGTCTGCTTTGGTGGTTTCTTTAATTTGAGGAGTGGTCTGGTGAGGGGGAGGGTGACAGATATGGCTGTCAACAGGATGGTTTCCACCCCTAGACTGCAGAGAGAGGAGGATTGATCCAGAAACCAGCTGCTAAAAGTGAATGGAGAAAGGAGGAGAAATGCAAGTCACAGCTATTTATTTTGGAGGCCAGCAGGTTAAAAAGCAGACTAGGCAAAGGCAGTCTCGTGAATCATGGATGAAAATTTTGCAAAGGAATTTGGAAATTGCTTCATGATTAGAGCAATGCAGTTTAATTAAAATACAACATAAACCAGATATTGTACTAAAACTTGAATTGTGAAATGTAAAAATGAAGAGAACACAAAAAAATAAAAAAAAAGTTTTTCGGTTGTGAGACTTGAACTTTGGGCCTGGGCGCTGTCCCTCAGCTCTTCAGCTCAAAGCTAGTGCTCTGCCACTTGAGCCACAGCACCACTTCCGGTTTTCTGGTGGTTAATTAGAGATAAGAGTCTCGGGGACTTCGCTGCCTGGGCTGGCTTTGAACCGCAGTCCTCAGATCTCAGCCTCCTGAGAAGTTAGGATTACAGGTGTGAGCCTCCAGCTCCCAGCTTAAAATATATTTTAGCAGTGTACATCATTATACACACTACCCTTTAACTATATTTAATTATATATTCTTTAACACAGTCTATCTAAAATATTATTTTATCATGTAGTTAGTGCTTAGCATTATTACTGAAATTCTACTTTCTTTAATGCACTTATCGGATTTGTGCTTTACACTTAAAGACATTTAGGGCGGGGCTGGGAAGGTGGCTCAGTGGTAGAGCACTTGCCTTGCATGCATGAGGCCCTGGGTTCGATTCCTCAGCACCACATAAGCAAAAAGAAAAAAGCCGGAAGTGGCGCTGTGGCTCAAGTGGTAGAGCGCTAGCCTTGAGCTGAAGAGCTGAGGGACAGCACCCAGGCCCAGAGTTCAGGCCCCACGACCGGACCAAAAAAAAAAAAAAAAAGACATTTAGGGCTGCCACAGCAACTTACTACAAATTGTGACTTCATACAACAGAACTAGTCTCTCATTCTCTGATAGTTACAAGTTGCTTCCCACTGGAGACTGTGAGGGAGAATCCATCCAGCTTCTCAGCTAGCTGTGGCCATTGCTGGAAGTCTGGGTGCCCCTCGGCTTGTAGCCAATGTAACTCCAATGTGTGCCTCCATGAAAAATGGTTGTTATTTGGGGGAACTTTGGAGTGTGTGTTCCATTTGCACGATTGTCACATCTGCCTCAAGTCCAGCAAGTCTTGTAGGGGCTCAGACAAGCATTTGAGCCGTTCGGTAGTGGTGTCATCCACATCTTCATTGGTGGAAACAAAGCTGCTAGGAAATTGGACTGCCCAGGCAGGCTGCTTTAGCACAACACCTAGTTTTGTTTTGGGTGTTTTATAAATGGGATCTTTTGTTTTGCCCAAAATGGTGTCCAGGACTCTTGAGCTCAAACAAGCTTCCTGCCTCAGCCTCTTGAGTAGCTGGAACAAGAGGTACTCACCACCATGCCCCACTAGTGCTGAACTCTTGATCAGTGCTGTGTTCCACACCAGAGGAGAGTGTTATCTTTACTCTCATTGGCCTGGCTGAGCAGCCAATTACATAGATGATGGTGCAGGGAATCTCATTTCAGCCCACTGAAGGCACCTTCAGTGATTGGTCAGAAATGGGAGGAAGTCCTTAGTTCTGTCACCAGTGCTACCAGCAGCCTTGCCTGGCTCACTCCAGAAAACCAGAGAGAAGGAGCCACCCAGTCCAGTAACCTCCAGGCTCTTTGTGTATTTCCTATTTATCTATTGTTCTTATTTGTATAAAAAGAAACACTTTTTTGGAAGTATTCAGTAGTTCTGTGCTGTTTGGTATATTTTGTTTTATGGCACATTTCTAATAATAGTTTTTCAATTATAATTTTTTTCTTGAAGACACTTTCCTAATTTTAAATTATTCTTTTATTGTAGAAAATTTTAAAGTCAAAAGAAAATCTCACTGCCAGAGATAGCCTAGGATTGTTTGAGTCAAGTAATCCTGGACCATTCGGAGCCATATAGAAAGAGCCCATCTCGAAACACAAAGTGTTGATGTTTCGATTTCATTCTCACAAATATTTTTGAGGGGGGAAAAAACTCACAGTACTTGCTTTAATTCTGTCAAAATTCTTATTGGAGGGCTGGGAAGGTAGCTCAGTGGTAGAGCGCTTGCCTTGCATGAATGAGGCCCTGGGTTCGATTCCTCAGCACCACATAAGCAAAAAAGAAAAAAACGCCGGAAGTGGCGCTGTGGCTCAATTGGTAGAGCGCTATCCTTGAGCTGAAGAGCTGAGGGACAGCGCCCAGGCCCAGAGTTCAGGCCCCACAACCAGACCCCCCCCCAAAAAAAAATTCTTATTGGAGGGCAAAAAATGTTTTGATAATTTCTAAGAAATCCACCCCATCCTGCCTATTTTCTGACTAGGTTTCTGCCTCAATGCTCAAGCAGTTTCCCAACAGTGGCCTGAATCCAGGTCTTTTCAACGTGGGGCCCCAGTTATCTCCTCAACAAATTGCCATGCTGAGCCAGCTTCCACAAATCCCCCAGTTCCAGTTGGTAAGTAGCAAGTGCGCTTCCTGTAGCTAAAAAGGTCATTAGCTTCCTATCTTCTGTGTCTTTGTCACTTTTTATGTTTGTCACTTTTTATGTTCAAACTTGAATACAAATGACTGAGCATGCTTCAAGGTTGCTATATCACTCCGCCTGACAGTAAACTTAACCGGTAGACCAGGAATTCATCAGTGCCTCCCTTACCGATGCTTTTGACCAGTGACTTGCGCTGCAGTCGAAACCCTTCCAGTGTTCTCAGCCAGTCAGTCTGAGGAAGCCCTGGACCCCTCTTCTCTTCTCTCTGGGTTTTGCAGGCTTGTCAGCTTCTCCTGCAGCAGCAGCAGCAGCAGCAGTTGCTACAGAACCAGAGAAAGATTTCTCAAGCAGTGCGCCAGCAGCAAGAACAGCAGGTACCTCGGTGGGGAGGGTCTCCCAGGGGCTCTGAGACTGCCTCTTGGCTTAACCACTAGAGAGACATTTGGAGCACTGGCTTATTGTGTGTCTCTGTTTCTCCTGGGCTCCTCCTTGATCTGGCTGCTATGCCTTCAGCTGGCTCGAATGGTGAGCGCACTACAGCAGCAGCAACAGCAGCAACAGCGGCCACCAAGCATGAAGCACTCACCCTCTCATCCGGTTGGGCCCAAGCCACATCTGGACAACATGGTACCCAACGCACTGAATGTGGGGCTACCAGACCTTCAGACCAAAGGGCCAATCCCTGGATATGGTTCTGGTATGTTGGTCATAGTCAAAAGTACCTTTTTTTCAAAATCCACTTGTCTAAGCCTCTAATGGGGGTTGAACTCTTACGACCCTTCATTTTTACAATAGCTGTACAAGGTTACAAGGCAGAAAACAGTTCTCCCTGGTTGCAGATGAAATTGTGAAGTCTGAGGCTCTCAAGCCCTGATTGCTTTCCAAGGCTCACCACACAGCTAGTATATAGCAAAGACAGGCCAGCCGCTCTGGCTCTAACACAGCCTAATAGTGTAACTTGTTTGTAAAGGCCAAACTGCTCTCCTTCCAACAGCAGGTTTTGAAAGCCAGTTGAAGTGTTTGCATGTGCTGTGATTGCTACAAATGGCTTATGTTGTAATCTATTAAAATATGTACAAGTTGAAGTGTTTGACTCAAGTGATAAAATTGCCATGGAAAAATGAAAAACTAAAATTTTAAGGCAGATAAAAAAACTTATCTAATGTTATGATTTCATAGGATTTAAATAGAATTAGCACAAGTAAGGCTATACTTTTGACATTCATTAAGAATTTTTTGGCAGGCAAATCATAACGCTTTTAGAAATGAGAAATGTGCTGTAAGCAGAATCAAGTCAGTAAGGCAACAGTGACTCAAAATAAAAGTTAAAACTAAACAAGAGCTGGGCACTGCTGGCTCAAGACTGTAATCTGAGCTACTCTAGAGGCTGAGGAGATCTGAGTATCAGGGTTCTAGCAAGAAGCCAGAACTGGAAGAATGGTTCAAATCGTAGCAAAAAAGCCAAACTGGAAATGACCTAAGTGATGAAGTATTAGCTGAGCAAGCAAGCCAAGCAAGTTCAAGGCCCTTAGGTCAAACCCCAGCCCAGGCCCAGAGTTCAAGCCCCACAACTGTCCAAAAAAACCCAGTACCACACACACAACTCAAAATAGAATAACTGCTGAAGCAATCCTCATTGATTCTTTTGTAGTTTCCTATTCATTGCTTTTAGCATAATTGAAAACATATCTAAATGTTCAGATATGAACAAATTGTGTTGTTATTGAGCCAGAGGGAAGGACCTATATCTGAAAAGAAATCCAGATAATTAAATGATGTGATAATTCTTGCCCCCCCCTTTTTTTTTTCTCAGTGGTAGACCTTGAACTTGGAGCCTGGGTGCTGTCCCTGAATTTTTTCTGTTCAAGGTGCTCTACCACTTTGAGCCATAGTGTCACTTCCAGTTTTTGGTTTTCTGATGGTTAATTGGAGATAAGAGTCTCACAGACTTTCCTGCCTAGCCTGGCTTTATACCTCAATCCTCAGATTTCAGCCTCCTGAGTAGCTAGGATTACAGGTATGAGCCACCAGTGTCCAACTTTGTTCCCATCTTATATGTATGACTACTGAAGGGGTAGAGTGTCAACCTAGCAAACATAAATCCCTAAAATCAAACTCCAGTGCTGCAAAAAGAAAAAAGGCATTTCCAGTAACAATTTTCTTTGTCTTTTTATTTTTATGTTTAACATATCAAATTTTAACTAGTTACTCATGGCTAATGTCTATAATTCTAGCTTCTCAGGTGGCCAAGATCTGAGAATTGCAGTTCTAAGCCAGTTTGAGGCCAACCCAAGCAGACAAATCCATAAAATTCTTACTCCAATTAGCCAGCAAAAAGCAGAAAGTAGAAGTATGGCTAATGTGATAAAGTAAAGCCATTGAAGCTCAGGACAAGGCCTTGAGTTCAAGCTCCAATACTAACAATTAATGAATAATAAAAACATAAAAATGTATCCAATTTTATACTATTCTTCTGGTATGCCTAGTGAAGAATAGTGCTGTGGCATGGGAATTGTAAACATGGAAGAAGGGAAATGCATATCTAAGATGTTCGTACTGGCATGGTACTGTAGAAGGATCAGCAGTTATAGGGAGATGTTTCTGTTATAAAAGTAGTCCTCCAGACCCCCACTCTGCCTGTAGAGTTAGGATGAAGCTTCATCCATGCCAGGCACTGAGTGACACCACCAAAACCCATAGTTGTTTTCAGTGCACAACAAAATAAGTGGACATAAGAGAGAAAGGAAGTAGAGACATAATTAGTCTTAGGAGGATATAAGAACTGAGCCAGTAGTGATGAATAGAAGATGACTTAAGGAGTGTGTGGTGGAGAATGAGGTTGTGACAGAAACAGATGAGGTCAGTTGTACTTGCAAGAATGGTAAGTAAAAGGCATGTTCTGGTGAAATAAGTCTGAGCAAAGGCAAGAGACATGTTCTTTCTACTTGTACCTTGGCTCCCAATTCAGAGCCTGGCATGAATTAGGCTCTGTATGAATATGGAATGAACTGAACTTAATGGCTTGTTTGAATGGGGTGAAGGCCATGAATTTGGGAACTAGAGAAATACAAGGAAAACACTTGGTTCTCAGGAACTTTGGTTTTGATAAAGTATCTTAAGTACTGTTACCACCGCTGGCTTTCCACTCATTCTCCATCATTGTCATTTCTCAGTGGCTGTTTGTTCTTCATCCCTGCACTCTTTAATTTCACTTTTTTTTTTTTTTGGTGGTTGTGGGGCTTGAACCCAGGCCCTGGGTGCTGTCCCTGAGCTCTTTCGCTCAAGGCAAATGCTCTACAGACACTTTGAACCACAACTCCACTTCTGATTTTTGAGTGGTTAATTGGAGAGAAGAGTCTCATGGGGACTTTTCTGCCTGGGCTGGCTTCAAACCGCAATCCTCAGATCCCAGCACCTGAGTAGCCAGGATTCCAAGTGTGAGCCACCAGCGCCTGGCATTAATTTCACTTCTTGAGAGTCAATTTGAAAAAAAATTTTTTTTCTTTTCCTTGTCCTAGGGCTTGAACTCAGGAACTGGGCACTGTTCCTAAGCTGCTGTTTCCTCAAGGGTAGTGCTCTACCACTTAAGCCATAGCTCTCCTTCCGAATTTTTGTTAGTTTATTGAGATAAGAGTCTCATGGGCTTTCCTGCTCAGGCTGGCTTTGAACCACAGTCCTCAGATCTTACTTTCCCAAGTAGCTAGGATTACAGGCTTGAGCCACTGGTGCCTGGCTGAAGAATCCTTATGTACATTCTCGCTCAAGTGGAAAACAAGATGAGAAGCCCCGTGAGATTCTTTTTTTTTTGGGGGGGGGTCCGGTCGTGGGGCCTGAACTCTGGGCCTGGGGGCTGTCCCTCAGCTCTTCAGCTCAAGACTAGCACTCTACCACTTGAGCCACAGCACCACTTCCGGCTTATTTTTCTTTTTGCTTATGTGGTGCTGAGGAATCGAACCCAGGGCCTCAGGCATGCAAGGCAAGCACCACCTTCCCAGCCCCCGTGAGATTCTTACCAGTGTTTGTGTGCTTTCACCTCTGCAGTGCTGTGTGGTGGGACCTTGGGGAATGTTGCTCACTGTGACTATTGCTAAGATCCCTACAACTGAGTCTTAAGCAGGGCTTATCACACCGTGAACTTGGAACCTCTCCCTAACTGCATCTTCTAGCTCTAGGATTTTCATGAGAAGACTTTCAAATTGGTCTTTCAGATTCTGCCATAACCCCATGTGTCCCTTCCTCACCCTGGCAGTTTTTCTTTCTAAAACACAAACCTAGTTGCCTTCCTAGGCCAAACATGTAAAGGCCATGGCTTTCCCCATCTCCGCTACACTTCCTTACTTCTTGTTACTTCTCTTTACTTCTCCATAGACAGGGAATTGCTTTCCATTGAACTTCTCACCATTCCCTAAACACACTTGGTATAAGTCATGAGTCAGAGCTTTATTGGCCTTTTCTCTCCAAAGTACCCATGCCAACCCATCATTGCTGCTGCCATATATTCTTCTATTTGTGTTCTCCATTTCAGCTGCAGAGTGCTTTCCAGTGGACTGTGACATAAATGCTTAATTGGTAACAAAGTAGATACACACAGGCCCCGAGAATGGACTAAATTAGATGGCAAGGACAAACCTTTTCACACATTAACAAAGAGGCGACATCTTTTTAGCATGAGCCAAGATCAGAGTTTTGAATCGAGGCTTTATAAATTAGCTTGCGAATGATGGTGTTGTTCATGGGTTCTGTCTGAGAATTAGCATTGATGTGAGAAATACAGGAAAGAGATAACCCTGGTTCTCCATTTCAGGCTTCAGCTCTGGCGGTATGGACTATGGCATGGTTGGTGGGAAGGAGGCTGGGACTGAGTCTCGTTTCAAACAGTGGACCTCCATGATGGAAGGACTGCCCTCTGTGGCCACACAGGAAGCCACCATGCACAAAAATGGTGAGAGCCACCTCACAGTCACTATAAGCAGAGCCCCTGCCCCTAGCAGCCTTAACCTTCACCAAATATCCCAAATGTTGTTTGAAGTTTTTTTGCTTTTGTTTTGAATGTGGTCTTGCCATGTAGCTCAGGCTGCTCTCAAATTCCATGATCCTCCTGCCTCAGCCTCTTGAGTAGCTAGGATTACAGGCATGCGCCTTTTAAACTCTGAAAGATAACTAATCAGAATACATGAGGCTTGAGTTTTTCTTTTTCTTTTATTTTTTTATTGTGAAAATACTGTACAGAGGGATTACAATTACATGGGGAAGATAATGAGTACATTTCTTATCAAGCATTGTAGCCTCCTCCTTTGTTTCCCCTTCCCCCCCATGAGGCTTGAGTTTTTCACAAAGCTTCTTCCTCGTGAATAGCAATGTCTTGCGGGACAGCACTGGAGTACATTGCAGGCTTTGTGGTGAATTGACTTGGCTCCTCCTCTCCATAATTCTCTGGAAATTTCCTCATCTCCCTAGTAAACAGATAAGCAGTCTTACCCTTCTCTCACCCTTCACTTCTATTTGTTTCATTTGACAGTGTTTCACATATCAGGTCTCCATGAAAACCAAGTATGAATAGGTGTTTGGCTTTTAAAAGGCTCATTCAGCCTGCAGACTTCAGGTTCTCATTGTCAGCCCTCTTTAATAAGACCATCAAGAAGTCTAAGGAAGGAGTCACATGGATTTCTCTGCCTGCCAACCCCAAGCATGATGAAAATCAAGAATGACTTGTTGAAATGATAAAACTTAAGCCAGGGGCTGGGGGGTTAGCTCAGCGGAAGGGCGCCTGCCTGGCACACGCAAGGCCCTGGGTTCGGTCCTCAGCCCTGGATAAAACAAAAAAGAAGTAGCTCACAACTATAATCCTAGCTACTCAAAGTGACTAAGATGTGAGGATCATGACTTGAAGCCAGCCCTCTTCTTGCCTCTTTTAGAACTGGTAGACAAGTTTTTGTTTTTGTTTTTCCCATTTCCTTAAGCATTCCCTGAGGTAATTGAGGTTTTCATTTCCTACTACTTGACCATAATGTGCCTGTGAGCCAAACTTTCAGGCATTGGCTTGAGAAAAGCAAATATCTTCTTAGCTGAGCTAGGAGATAGTTTTGATAATACTCCTTTTAGGCCAAACCAAACAGATTATCTAACTCAATATTTACACATGTATTTTAATACATCATGCTAGAAATAATTTTTTAATCTGTTCATGAATTACATCCTAAGACTACAGAGTAACATAATATAGGAGATTCATTGAGAAAAATTAGTAGAATGACATCTCACAGGTACCTAATGTTTTATCTAAAGTAAAACATACTTTCTTAGTTTCTGACTTAAGGAAATGTTAAAATTTTAACTTTTTCCCTCCACACAGCATATAAAATACAAGCAGGGGCACCAGAAAAATCTCAGAAATGCCCTCAGGAACATTGAGACAAAGGGTTTGCTGTTCTTCCTGTGTAAGGCCCTGGGGCTCAGAGCTGCAGAGTTCATTGCTGGCCTTTTGCTGGCAAGGACCCTTGGACAGGAATTCCATCTCATTGCCTTGGAATTTAAAGCAATAGCAAATGCCTTTCTCTCTATTGGACTCCCTGCCTGCTGCTTCTAGCTAATCTAAAGCTAAGTTAGCACTTAAGAAATGTGGGTAGGTATCATCTGTAGAGATGTCATTTAAAAACCTTCCCATAGCCCGGCGCCAGTAGCTCACACCTATAATCCTAGCTACTCAGGAGGCTGAGATCTAAGGATGGTGGTTCAAAGCCAGCCCGGGCAGGAAATCCATGAGACTCTTCAATAAACCACTAGAAAACCAGAAGTGGCTCAAGTGGGACAGTGCCCACGCCTAGAGTTCAAGCCCCATGACTGACCCCCCCCCCAAAAAAAAAAGCTTCCCATTTCTCACTGGAGTGATTAGCATAGAAATTCTGGTGATCATGGTATGATTTGCAGCATGGTATGATTTCCTAAGGGGATTTACCATACTAAAAGAACCATTCAGCATTCAGGAGTGAGGATGAAGCTGGGCACTGGTGGCTCAAACCTATAATCCTAGCTACTCAGGAGGCTGAGGTCTGAGGACTGTGATTCAAAGCCAACCTGGACAGGAAAGTCTATGAGACTCATCTCTAATTTATCCCCCAAAAAGCTGGATGGAAAGCATGGTTCAAGTGGTAGAGTGACATCCTTGAGCAGAATAAGGCAGTGCTCTGAATTCAAGCAACAGTACTGGTACCAAGAAAAAAAAAATGAGAATAGGCCTCTGAGTTACATAAGAAATTGAGAAGCTCAGAGAGGTAAGATGATTTGTTAAGGCCATCTCCGCCTTAATTATGAGATAAGTGCCCCATGCAGCCTCATATTCCAGTGTTCTCTTTATTCCACATGCTTCAGAAAACTGTATTTAAGATCCTCTGGAAAAAAGAAAAGTTTCATCTAGGGGCTGAGACAGTTCAAATGTCAGAGCATTTGCGTACCAAATGGAAGCCCCTTGTTCAATCTCCATTACTCAGAAAGAAAAAACAATAAAAATCTCACCAGAGTGCTTTCTGAACAGATCCTCTATTTCTGAGTTAACTAATTACCTCTCTCTTTCCTCAGGCGCTATAGTGGCCCCTGGTAAAACCCGAGGAGGGTCACCATACAACCAGTTTGATATCATCCCAGGTGACACGCTGGGTGGCCATACGGGTCCTGCTGGTGATAGCTGGTTACCTGCCAAATCTCCACCAACAAATAAAATTGGAAGTAAATCCAGCAATGCCAGTTGGCCTCCAGGTATTGTCCAGGAAATGCTTTTACTGGAATAGCATTTGTTCAGGTTCTAATCACATTGTTTTTGCAATACACTTAACTGAATTCCATGCTTTCTTTTTTCAATTCAGTAATTATTGTCTAGTAAGGGCAGGAAGGCAGGGCATTGTGCTAAGGGAAGATGGAAAATCTTGACTAGGGGGGCCTCTGGAGATGTAGAAGATGACCTTGTAGCTGGGAGTAGAATGCCTGGAATACAGGCCTTAGTCAGTTGATTAAAGATTTTATTAGAGATTTTATTATTACTTAGGCTGTAGATATGCAGTGATGAATACACTGAGATTATTTAATTTTTTCTGTCTTCACTTTATTTATTATAGGGAAATTAGAAAATTTAGTAAAGCCAAAATAAGAATAACTTGATCAAGAAGCATTGTACTTATAACTTGACTTAGAGAACTGTAATCTCTTTGTACAGCTACTTAATAATAAAATTTTTTTCTGCATTCTTTTTTTTTTTTTTTTGACGGTCATGGGGCCTGAACTCTGGGTCTGGGCGCTGTACCTCAGCTCTCCAGCTCAAGGCTAGCACTCTACAACTTGAGCCACAGTGCCACTTCTGGCTTTTTCTCTTTATGTGGTGCTGGGGAATCGAACCCAGGGCCTCATGCATACAAGGCAAGCACTCTACCGCTGAGCCACCTTCCAAGCCCCTTAATAATAAAAATTTTAAAAATATATAAATAAAAATCCAAGCCAGGTGCCAGTGGCTCACACCTGTAATCCTAGCTACTCAGGCTGAGATGAGATCTGAGGATCACAGTTCAAAGCCAGCCCAGGCAGGAAAGTCCATGAGACTCTTATCTCCAGTAAACCTCCAGAAAACTGGAAGTGGTACTGTGGCTTAAGTGGTAGAGTGCTCACCTTGAGCTGAAGAGCTGAGGGACAGTGCCCAGCCCAGAGTTCATGCCCCACAACCAAAACAAAAAAAATCCAGTTGACTGATTATATTATACACACACATACACATACATACACACACATATATATACATACTTCTTTCTGTACATACATACTTGTGGCATATATATATATAGTTTTATTAGAGAAGGATGAGATAGTATATCCTGTTCAGGGTGAAATTGTCCAAAACCCATAACCCCTCTGTAAATCACCTTTATAATAACAATACAAAATTTTAAAAAATATATTCATATATGTGTGATACACACATCCACATATATTGTTCTTCAATTTGATTAGGAAGATAGTTTATTAATTCTATCACATACCTTTAAATATAACTTAACCAATAAAAACATGATAAGCTTTAATATAAATTTAGGCTTTCTCATGATAAACTAAATTATTCCTCATTATTATTCCTGTGTGGCAGAAGTCATATGAATTAAATTTTTTGTTGGTTAATTTTCTTGTGTATTTTGACCAATGAATAGTAAGGAAAACAGAAAAGGCTTAGATTTTCTACCAGTTCTCGGCCTACTTACCTTCCCTGCTTGTAGCTCCCTGGGAGCAGGAGGATTAAGTACCTGTGCTCTCTTTCCAGTTTACAACCACAGTAACCACATGGACAGACTTTTTTGTTGTTGGTGGTGGTGGTCATGGGGCTTGAACTCTGGGCCTGGGCACTGTCCCTCAGCTCTTCAGCTTAAGGCTGGGGTTCTACCACTTGAGCCACAGCACCACTTCTGGCTTTTTGTGAGTATGTGGTACTGAGGAATCTAACCTTGGGCCTCATGCATGCAGGGCAAGCACTCTACCACTGAGCCACCTTCCTAACCCCAGATAGACTTTTATGCTACAATGAAGTGCTATTGGCAAGAGTATATGTTCAGGCAAAGTTTTTTTTTAACTTTATGATGAAAATAGTTTCATAATTTAGACTTTTCATAGATCTATTTTTCTTTTTTTTTTATGGGGGGGGGAATGGTGGTACGGAGGGATGAGAGGAGAGGGGTTGAAGACAACTTCTTTTCCCTAACATTTGCTCTTCTTGTCTCAGAATTCCAACCAGGAGTGCCATGGAAAGGTATCCAAAATATTGACCCTGAATCTGATCCCTATGTCACCCCAGGAAGTGTGCTGGGGGGTACAGCCACATCTCCCATTGTAGATACTGACCACCAACTGCTGCGGGATAACACCACAGGTAGGCTGCCATATCCTCTGCGTGGACGCCCAGCATTTTTATACAAGTCAGCCTTAGCCATGCAGGTACCTAATAATGTAACCAGAAAATAGGAACAGTTTACTTTTCACATTTTTTATTTTTTAGGCATATTTTTTAGGTATTTTTTTTCACTGGATCAACTGACATTTAATCTTCCATATTTTCTTGTTGTCACCTCAAGGGTCTAATTCTTCCCTCAACACCTCGCTGCCTTCACCTGGTGCCTGGCCCTACAGTGCCTCTGACAACTCCTTCACCAACGTTCATAGCACTTCAGGTATGAGAGTCATTTCTTCCCTTGGTTAGCACTTGCCATTAGTTTCCTAAGAAATACTTTTACAGGAGGCCAGTGATAGAGGAAGTCCAGAAGTCTTTGCCATCACCTTGAAGAAAGCAAAAAAGCTACAACTTTGACTCAAGGCCAGAAGTGATAGAATCTGAGCACTGGGTGCACAAAGAAGCAGGACCTGTGACCTGATTGACACAAATGCTTCCCTTGACAAATCTGCCAAGGAATCAAGGGACATGGGAAGAGATGGTTAAGTCCAGATTATTATTCCTGTGGCAGCCAATAACAGCTTGCTCTTCCCTAGAAATTCTTTAGCTTATAGACAAAAAAGTCCAAAGAAGGGGAAGGCCTTGGTTAATTTGACCAGAAGTACTTGTTGGCTTAATGGATATAATCTAGGATTTGAAGTCAACCTTTGACCTTTACATAATGCTATGAGTAGACTATGTTACAATCCCCACTCAGACTCAGACTCAAAGATCTGATACAAGCTAGCTATAGTCATACATTCCTATAATCCCAGCACTCAGGCTGAGCAGGACTTCAGGCCAACATGGGCTACATAGCAAGATCCTCTCTCAAAAAAGAAAAAGAAAAAAAAAATTCTTAAAATGTGTCTCAAGGGCTAGGAAGGTGGCTTACTGGTAGAGTGCTTGCCTAGCATGCATGAAGCCCTGTGTTAGATTCCTCAGTACCACATAAACAGAAAAAGCTGGAAGTGGCACTGTGGCTCAAGTGGTAGCATGCTAGCCTTGAGCAAAAGAAGCTTAGGGACAGTGCCCAGGCCCTGAGTTCAAGCCCCATGACTGGCCAAAAAAAAAAAAAAAGTCTCTAGTATGAGCCTAAATCACACACGAGAAATCCTGTGTTTCACATAACCACCCAGCATTATACTTTGCAGGACTAATTTACATGTTACATTCATATACAATGAGACTAAAGGAGGATACTCTTAGCAGAGAAACCAAAAGGTGAAATGCCTCTCTATACGTGTGAACATTTAAATAATAATTAGTTAAGTGAATTCCCAGGAAACTAAATGAATTTCTGCTGTTGTTGGTGGAGATGGTGTTTGTTTTTGCTTTTTTTGTTTTTGTTTTTTTGTCTTGTGTGTTCATTTATCTGCCTTTGGGGGAGGGTAAGGGAGGACACAGAAATGGTAATACAAAGGGTGAACAAATGCAGCAATGGTACTCACTAAACACTACATTGAAAATGAACTAAAGATCTTGTAGATGTATAGGATGAGGAAATTGGGGGAAAGCGAAGGAAGGGGTGACATTTCCCAAAAAGAAATGTACTTGTTAGCTGATTTATGAAACAGTAATCCTTCTGTAATCACCTTAATTATAACATTATTTTGCCAATCCTAGAACTTGCACTCAGGGCCTAGGTGCTATCCCTGAGCCTCTTTGTGTTCAGTGCTCGCACTTTACCATTTGAGTCACAGCTCTACTTCCAGCTTTTTCTGAGTTTATTGGAGATAAGAATCTCATGGATATTCCTGCCCAGACTGGCTTTGAACCATGATCCTCAGATCTCAGCCTCCTGAGTAGCTAGGATTGCTGGTGTAAGCCAGCTAGCTTTGAATTTTATTTTACTCATTATTTTTTTATACTGCTACTGGGGCTTGAACTCAGGATCTGGGCTTTATCCCTTAATCAAAACTGGTGCTATGCTACTAGAACCTCTCTGGCTTTTTTGTGGTTAAATAAAGATAATAGTCTCACAGACTTTCCTGCTCAGGCTGGCTTTTCAAACCACAATCATCAAATCTCAGCCACCTGAGACGCTAGAAATACAGGTATGAGCCACCAGCACCCAGCTATTTTATTTCATCTATTTAATATTTTATTTAATTTTCATATTTTAGTATGTTATTTTTGTTTCTATTTTTATTTATATCTTTTTTTTTTTTTGGTGTGCCAGTATTGGGGTTTAAACTCTAGGCCTCAGGCTTTCACTTTGCTTTTTTGCTCACAGTTGAACTCTGTCACCCGAGCCACATTTCCGGCTTTTTGCTGGTTAATTAGAAGTAAGAATCTCTTAGATTTGTCTGCCTCAGATCTCAGCCTCCTGAGTAGCTGGGATTATAGTCATGAGCTACTGGCACTTAGCTCTTGCACTGATTTTTTTGGGGGGGTGGGCAGTTGGGGTCAGTCTTGGGGCTTGAACTCTGGGTCTGGATGCTGTCCCTCAGCTCTTCAGCTCAAGGGGAGCACTCTACCACTTGAGCCACAGTGCTACTTCGGGTTTTCTGATGGTGACTTGGAGAGAAGAGTGTCAGAGACTTTCCTGCCCAAGCTGACTTTGAACCGCAGTCTCAGCTCTCAGCCTCCTGAGTAGCTAGATTACAGGCATAAGCCACCAGTGCCTGGCTCACACTGATTATTTTTGAGATAAAATCTTGCTCCATACCCAGAAATGTGCCTGGACCTCGAGCCTCTGATCTTTTTCCCTTCCTGCTCATTTTCATCCAACTCTTTTTCCGTCTGTAAGTGCCCCATATCTCAAGTTGACTTAAGTATTTCTCTACAATTGAACATTCACTTTCAAATTATCTTTTCTTTTTAATGAATACCCTTATTTTTTTTAATAATGCTCCCAGGCTTCACTTTGTCACAGAATCTCAGTATTTCCCATTCCTTCCTTTCTTTGTTTCCTGCATCCAGGCATGATTGTATCCTGAGTCACAGTCTTCACTACCCATTCCTCCTGCTCCATTTCGTTTTCCATCACCCTTGTATAAACCCTGTGCTGAACCTGCTTCAGAAACTCCCCCGCAGGTTACGCTGCCCTAGCTTTCCACATCGCCTCCTTACCACCCTACCCCTGCAAAATGTGACATTCAATCAAAATTGGCTGAGATTATACTCTGTATTGGAAATCCTATGTTAAACCTTATCTCCCATTTTCCTGCTTTACCGACCTGGTCCCGTGATCTGAATTCTTCAGATCTGTCTCTGCAAAGCCTCTGCTGGCAGCCTAGCAAAGACTATCCTCTGCATTTTGAACATTGTGCTGTTGCCAGGGTTACCAGTTATCCCACTGTTCCATCTCCCATCTGAACTGGAGGCTCTTGAGGATCACTGTATTAGAAACCTTAGCATTGATTTAATATCTTAAAGACAATAAGCCCTTAGTATTTGTGGGTTTTTGTTGTTGTTGGTTTTTTTTTTTTTTTGTCGGTCGTGGGACTTGAACTCTGGGCCTGGGCGCTGTCCCTCAGCTCTTCAGCTCAAGGCAAGCGCTCTACCACTTGAACTACAGCGCCACTTCCGGTTTTCTGGTGGTTTATTGGAGATAGGAGTCTCACGGTCTCTCCTGCCTGGGCTGGCTTTAAACCGCGATCCTCAGATCTCAGCCTCCTGAGTAGCTAGGATTACAGGCATGAGCCACCAGCGCCCGGCTTGTTGTTGGTTTTTTTAATTGCTAGTCCTGTGGTTTGAATTCAGGGCCTGGGCACTGTCCCTGAGCTTTTGGTCATGGCTAGCACTCTACCACTTGAGCCACCTCTGGCCTTTTCTGTTTATATGGTATTGAGGAATTGAACCCAGGGCTTCATGCAGGCTAGGCAAGCATCCTACCACATTCCCATCCTAGAAAGCTAATTTTTAATGTACTTTTTGCATGAAGTATTCATAGACTAATTTAGTTGTGCTAGTATTGACATTTTAATCATATCATAAGCTTGACAGCTTTAGGAGTACTTACTCCTAGAATTACTTACCTTACTAAATCTTCAGTTTTTATGAAAACTTTGTAAAGTCACAGTAATATCACTGAAAATTTTTTGTTCAGTAAGCTCAAAGAACAACTTTTTCAAATAGGATTGTATACATATTTGTGTGGAAACAAGATTTGTTTACATCTGTGGACAAACTTGCCCCATCTAATCTATTGCTTCTTGAATCTTCTCTTCTCACAGCAAAGTTCCCTGATTACAAATCCACGTGGTCCCCAGATCCCATAGGACACAACCCCACTCATCTCTCCAACAAGATGTGGAAAAACCACATCTCCTCCAGGAACACTACACCGCTGCCCCGCCCACCTCCCGGCTTGACCAACCCCAAACCGGCATCTCCCTGGAGCAGCACAGCACCCCGATCCGTCAGGGGGTGGGGGACCCAGGACTCTCGGCTTGCCTCAGGTGAGTTCTCCTACAGCAGCCGCTGGGCTGGCACAATGGGGAGGATGTGAAGAGGCTGGCACACAAGAGGAGACTGGTTGTCTGTATCTCTTGATTAGAAAGTTGCCGACAATACAAGGTGTAGAGACCCAGACCTCTCAATTAAAAATGACCAATAGCAGACTAAAGAGAAAACATGGAGGGAAACAGTGTCTTGCAAATAGGCAAAAGATTCTAATGGGTCAGTGACGAGGAGAAAGGCACAGGATATAAAGGTCAGGGTGAGGCAAAAAAGATTTCTGCCACATGGTTTCTGGAGTTGGGGGTGTTCTGTTTTTGTTTTATTATTCCTCATCCTTTGTCTGTGGTCGCTTGCAGCCTCTACCTGGAGTGATGGTGGCTCAGTTCGTCCTAGTTACTGGCTCGTTCTTCACAATCTCACTCCACAGGTAATGGTGCTTTCTTGTGGTTTTCTAGAGAGGACTCAACTGTATTGAGAGTGAGGGAAGCTGGGCACGATAATACATGCCCGTAGTCCCAGCTACTTGGGAGGCAGAAGTAGGAGGACCAGATGGCAAAAGCACAAAACAGTACCTGTATGTGGTAAAGCCCCTGAGATCTAACCCCAGTACTGCCAAAAAGAGAGAAATAGGAAAACTAGGAGATAGGGGACATTGGTATGTAAGAAAAATCATTTGTTTCCTGGTCACTGTGGGGTCCTGCATATAGGAAGTAGGTATCTCCTCCCTCTAAGACATATAGCCACCTTCTGAAAGGGGGTACTTAGCCTCCTGTCCACCATCAAATGGGTGGAAATCTGTGGAGTTTACAAAGCAATCAGAGTTGAGCAGTATGATGTAGTGGTTTCTGTGTAGTAGAGGTAATTTTCTGTATGGATGAGCCAGTAGAATCCAAAACTAAGTAGAAAGGGATGTTTTAATTACACACTGAAAAGCTACCTGGGGCTCAGAATGTATCTCAGTAGTAGAGCATTTATCTAACATCCCTGTCAGCACAAAAACAAAAATGAGAAAGGGAGTGCCTGTTTTGCTAATTTATCCAGCAAGACCTGAGACTCAATATTAATCATTTTTATGCTGCTTAAATAACCATCCATTTCTACACTAGAAGGAATGAATTGATTTTGTCACTGCCACATAGGTGCTTTTTATTTTCAGCTGTTGTTCTACTCTAGTACAGACAACATTGCTGATTTGATTTTACTACCACATGCCCTGTGGTGGGATTTCTAGGGACAGGTTTGGTCACACTAAACTGCCCTTCCTAAACTGTGGTTGCTCTGTGACTGAGACAGTATCTGAATGAGGGAAAGGAACAGGAGCCCTAGCCTTTATTGATTTTATAGCACCACTTTTATAATGCTTATCCAGGAGAAGTCTTGTCACACTCCGTTTGCTTTTGCGTTAGGGTCTCAATATGTAGCCTAGAACTTAGTGTTCTCTTGCTTCTGCTTTCTGAGCTCTGGGATTTCAAACCTGTGCCACAACATCTGGCATAACTGAACGCATTAGTTGACCTGACTTCAACTGTACCTTTGGTCAAGTTGCCTGAGGGCAGCTTAGGACACAGAGAAGGAGCAGAGAAGTAGTCTCTCCTTGAAGTGGTCCAAGTAAGACAGTATTGGAATGAATAGTCTATGAACTAGGCTAGGTAGTTGTCAGTTCTGAATACCACGTGTCAACTGTTTTGTTTTGTTTGGTTTTTTTTCTTTGTCTCTTTGTGAAATTGCTTACTGGGGAGGCAGAGAAATAAAACATTAGTAATGATCCCAAGAATTTTACATGTTCCTTTAAGTTCTTATACTCTATCATCTTTTCTGCCTTGTTAGGTTCTAAGATATCACTCTAATTTAATTTCCACTCACTTGTTTATCTTTTCAGGAGAACAGACCACAGGCTGAACTGTTCATTCATTTTGAGCTTTATTTATGCAGATATTTTATTTGCAAAATGGGAATGTGGGTCTCAGACCCATAATTTAAACATTGTCAAATTGTCCCAACCCTAACTTATATCTCATGAATACTGTTACTTCTTAGATTGATGGGTCAACCTTGAGAACGATCTGCATGCAGCATGGTCCACTGCTGACATTCCATCTGAATCTAACCCAGGGCACTGCCCTGATCCGATACAGCACCAAACAGGAGGCGGCCAAGGCCCAAACTGCACTGCACATGTAAGTACTCCATCCCATGCCCATCTAGACTGACACACATGAAATGCTCATGTGAGTATTCTGCTGCCAGCACACACAAACATGCACGAGTAATCCCACCTTGTATGCCTTTGCAGGAGACATGTCCTTTCTATCTGAGAATGCTCATGTTGTTCTGCATGTATCATAGGCTTGTGATCAAAATTCCAAATGTAAATAACTTGTGAAGTGTAGTGAGTTATTCTTAGTGCTGTCATTTTCCAGGTAGAATCAAAGTTGCTTGAGGTGACCTCTTTGTAAATAATGATGACATTTTTGCGGTCTTGGCAGGGAGCAGGATTTTTACTTGAAACAGATTGAACTAGATCAGACGTTGATCATTCCTCTCCCAGCCACCAAAATGGTAATAGGAAAGAGCTGCCTGCCTTCGGCCACAGCTGCCACGGTAAAGCACTACACAGAATGAACAAGTGATGGTGAGGTGGCAGTGCGTCCCCCTGAGGGGCTTTTGGTGTCTGGTGAGGACCTGCCTGATGCTTTCGATTGATCTTTTACTGCACATGGATGCTTTTGTTTTTAAGGTGCATTTTCCTTCCTTCCTTCCTTCCTTCCTTCCTTCCTTCCTTCCTTCCTTCCTTCCTTCCTTCCTTCCTTC